CCTTGTGCCCAATAAGGTAGAACTCCACACCCTTTCTGAGACCTGCCTACACCAGTGCACTTCCTCACAAGTCCCACAGGGCATAGGAGTGCTAGTTTCCCCTTGGACTAACATCAGCGTTTTAATTTCATGCTACTTAAGCAAACAACAAGGAATTTCTAATGGCCTGTTGGCTGCCAACATGTTTGGTAGTTTCGGAGGAGCAGGGAAGTTAGGATTCAACCCTGAGAGCTAACCTCAGCTCATACGCAGAATCTGTATTCAGAGAGAAGCAAAAAAGTAAGCAAAACAACACCTTCTCCAGTTATTAGTGACCAGGACAGGTTACTAACTATAAGGATAGAGAACTTAAGCAAGGCATCGGCAGAGATAGGACAGCTTCACAAAAGATTTTGAAACCTGGGTATAGTATGATTAACCTTACAATGAAAAGAGAAGTAGACCAAGTATGAGAAACTATAACTGAACCTGTTATATCTCCCATATGAAAATGTAGTAACAACTTTTCCCAACTTTCAATTCCTTCCTCTCTCTTTTTTCAGTTTTACTTTCTAACAACATAGTCGACCCTTGAAAACAGGTTTGAACTGTCTGGATCCACTTACATGTGGATTTTTTACAGTACATGATTGCAAATGTATTTTTCTCTTATTACTTTAATAACATTTTCTTTTTTCTGGCCTACTTTAAAAATACAGTATATAAATATACAAAATAGGGTGGGTGGACTACTTTATTGGTAAGGCTTCCAATCAAGCAACAGTTGGCCACTGACAGTTTTGGGGGAGTCATAAGTTACACTCAAGAGATTGGATGGCACGAGGGACCGGTGACCCCAACCCCCATGTTGTTAAAGGGTAAACGGTACTGAGCAAGTGAAACGAGGGGGTCTGTTTTTGTTGAAGTCAGAGATGGCAGAAAAAGTAGCAATTTCACTGAAGTCTTAATGTGATGTCAAAACATTGAGCTGGCATCAATTATAGGGGCTGATTTCATTCTGGTTGCTTGCTTTAAGTGAGATCCACAGCAGTGGAGGATGAAGTAGGTACAGGAGGGATGAATCATGGTCCCAAGACAACTAGCCCTCCACCAGATTTTTATTCCTAATCATCCACCAGCTGCACCAAATTATCAAGCAGGAAAAGAAAAAAAACAAACTCATTTGGTGGCCTAGGTATTTATAATTTTATTTTCACCTTAGAGAAACGACATGTTTCTAATATGAAGCATAAAGGAGCTAGTTATTAACATTTAATTTATAATAATGTTGTGTGGCCACCCTCTGCAACGCTGGAGGCTTGGCCAAGGCGTTGATCATGGTGATATGGCCCCACATCAATCCAGTGGGGATCATGCCTGCCAGATCTCTGGGGGAAATCAATGGGGCACACGCCAAGGCCTTGGCCACAAAGGCCTTCCAATTACTAGGCTTAAGTTAGTACTTATGGTGCTAATTTGAGAAAGGACTACTTCAATTGTCCTGTTAGATACAGAGACATCATGCTATTTTTTTATTGAATTCAGACTTGCAAAAATAAAACCCTGTATCTTCCTTAAGGATCAGCTTTACCCATTCTTGACTTTAAGAACATGGTGATCTCTAGAGCTCACCTTGAACAAACATCCCTGTTACAGGAGATGGCAGGATATGGAGGCACCCTCTCTAGCCAGAGGTGGCGCTGGGGATGGAGGTATGCATCAAATATGGATTCTTTGGGAAGGTAACATTCTGAAGGATCAGAATATATTTGAAACTCATGCCACATAACATAGGTGTAATTTTTATTTATTTAAAGAGAACAGGGGGGAGGGGCCAACAGTAATTTTCATAATACACAGAAGACAAGTTAGCACTGGGGAGTGGGGGAAGGCCATGTTCTTGCCACCAGTCTGCTTTGTAGCTCTAGGATTAATAAATTTAATGCAGTCTGTCATTTGTATTACTGTTTAGCAAATTTATAATTGGCAAAGTTAGGGATTATGAATCACTGTAACTGGACTATAAGACAAAAACCTAAATAAAATAAAAAATCATTTTTAAAAATAAACCATAAATATATGATGCACATTAGTGTAACAAAACCATTTTTGTAAACATTTTCAACATAACATGTGGAGGAAAAAAACACTGCACTCAATACAGTTACTCTGATTTAAATACAGAAAGGTATTACTTACTGAAGCTATGACTACACCTACAGACATACCTGTATTTTGTTTTGAAGAGCAGTGCTAAATATAAATCGTAATAGTATCATAATACTGTCTTCTCTTGTAGTTTTTGCCATTTTGGCACTTTTGTGAAGTCACTACCCTGTTAAAGGGAAAAAACCAACCAACCATCCCTTCTCTAGAAGAATAACATTTCACCTGCTCATTATCTTTTATGGAGAAACCTAACTGGGTACCTCCATGAAGCTGCAGCAACACAATCTGGTTTATGAGGTGCTGAGGCCAGGAAAGCAAGGAAAGCACACACACACGAGGCACCTGCCTTGCCCCATCCCTGCCTGCCCCCACCACAAATGGCTGTCTGACTTCAAGTGACTTAAGCCCAGAGATGGATGTGATCGTATTCCATGCAAATACCACAAGAGTGCCACCGGGTGGCTGCCTGCTGCTGCATGAGCAGGCAGGCCCTCTGGCTTGAGCTCGGACCCCATCACCTTGGAAAGGAAATCTAGTTTTTTTCAAGTTCTAACTACTCAGTAATTCCAATGAAAAACTATTTGTATTACCTGTGCACCCCCCTTGCCTTACAGATACTGAGCTTCAGTTCTATGTGTATGTGATAGGTGAGACTCGGATGCCTCAAGTCTTTTCTCTTTCTTCCTTATTGGTATCAGAAGTTTAGTTTTGTCCCCACCCCCAAACCCGCTCAACTTTACCTCTCTGTGAAGTCACGCGAGAGGCTATAATCAACCCTGCCATCCAGTTCTTTCTCCTCTTGGCATGCACACATGTTCACTGTGGCACATTTCACTCTTACTCAAAAAGCCAAACACACAGGAAATCACCAGTAGTAATTTGATTTTGACTGAAGTCCTATTGTGATGGCATCTGGCCCATCTCAAAAAAGTCCATTCCATAGGGGAGATTAACTCTTCAATCTTCTCTATGTTAACTACAGATTAGTAGAAAAGAACTAGTCCTTCCTGCTTTGGACATTAGCATCACTCCAAAGTCTTAGAGATGGAAAAAACCTTATCCAATGCTTTGTCCTTTTCAGAAGACGGCAAAGCTTTTTCAGCTTATCTTGTCTTTGTGGGTAGTAGGTACATCTGTGTTGTTTTTGTACCTGTGAGTATATCTATTTCTTGCTAGGTTTTTGTAATTCCAGGACAGCCTTTGGCAAAGATGCTGAACCAAGAGGAAGAGAATGATAGGGGTCAAAGTGGACACCAAATAGAGTAAGAATGCTGGGCAAAGCCTTGACAGGCAAAAATGACTGTTATCTTTTTGGGAGGAAAATCCTCCTTTTTCATGCTGTAAATGAAACTTACCCACAAAGGAGGATTAAGCCTAGGAAACACCAAGTTCTGTTTGGTAAACAAAGTTTAAAGCCACCATCACACAATATTCCCAAACTCCACAAGAGGAAAGTAAGCTGGCAGAGCCAGGATACAGAGCATTGCTCCTTTACCAAGAGATTAACAGTCTCAGAGGAAGTGAGTGACCATGAAGCCATATAACAAATTATTACCCAAGACATTTATTACAAATGTCATGAACATATTCATAAAGTAAAACTGGTTTAAAAAACAGAGAACAAGAGAGCAAGTGAGAGGAGAAAAGCCAGGGCTTTGATATTACACCTAAAACACAAGAAGATGCCATCTTATGAATAAGCAGTATTAACTACATTCTTAAAATAGTTTTAGTGCATTGCATTTTTAGAAAAGGGAAACACCACCCCTCCCCCACCCCAAGAAAAGGTTCCTGCAACACTGAACAGTTTGTGTGACTATTCTAGTATGACCACCCGTCTGCTACCAAACCCCGAACAGAGAGCACTGAGGCCTCTTATGTTGTAGGCCATAGTTGCCCATCAACCACTAATGGTGCATCTGGTGAAAACGAAGCATTCTGACCTCTGAACTTAGAAAACAGACTGTATCTGTGAGCATGATGAAGCCATATGGCTATTTCCCATCTTCAGGGACAATTTCTCTTGTGCCTACTGAGACCTGTGACAAATTAACTGTCAAACTTCAATCTGATAGTTTTGGTATTAAGATTAAATTAAACATTAATGTTTTCCTCCAAGAAACAGAACCTAAACCACCTCTTAATGCATTACAAACAATGAGGTAGGCAAAAAAATAAACATGTGGTTGAAAAATTTCTTTTCCTCTGCAGGTGCAGACTGTGGTAAAACTGTTGTTGCACTTCTAGGTTTAAACAAAAATTAAACCTTTAACTGAGGCAGTGCTAATACTGTCACACAACAAAGTTCTGGCCATTATACAAATGCACACATTTTCTTTTTCCTTTTTTTTTTTTTTTTAAAGAACCATCTGCACATGATTTAGGCAAAACCTGGTACACAGAAAAATGACAGTTTTTGGCCAAGCCAAAAAAAAAAAAAAAAATCCAAATAAACAAAATGGGACCCCCTTAACCCACCCCACCCTGCCTCCCAAGCCCCACCCACAAGTTATCCTAGTAACGTGTCTTTCACATTTTATAAATATTAACTTCTTAAACCTGCACCTTCTTCTTTGACCACATATTGTCACATTACAAAAAAGAAATGTCAATTAAATACACTGTTAATGTTACTATATTAAATCTGCTCTCTGCTTCAGCAAACTGCTCGTTAGACCACCATATTACACCTCCATGTGCCCATTTCCAACAAAACCAATGGCATGTTCATAGTCTCCACCTTTGACACCCATAAGACAGAGTCACTCAGAAACAAGGAATTCTGGAGCTGAAGGAAAGGCGTTTGCTTTCTGGTCTGATGCTCGATCCCAAACACTTATAGCACCTGATGGTAGAATGTGAACAGCACCAGCTGCATTGCAGCCTTGATTTATTTTTGAGTAGGGAAAAGAAGAGAAGGGGGATAAACTGGTAAGAGGTGCAGAAAGGAAACAAAAACGAAAACAAAACAAAACAAAACAAAAACCCCACACGTGGTGTCTGCAAACACAGCTGTCCTGGACCAAACCGGTGCAGCTCTGAGCTCCAGTTGCAAGGAATTCCAAGTTCTCAGGATCTTGAAGACTCTGGGGGCCAGCAAGCCTCATCGCACTGCATCTACCAGCTCAGAAGAGAAGTCCTGCCTAACGTCATGAAATAAACCTGACTGCTGCCCCCAGACCGAACAGAGGCAAAGAAGACCTGCAAAAGCAAGAGAAAAAGAGAGTGAGAGATTTACCATGAAAACACAACCTAGCAATGCTTCCGATGGTTCCCAGGCAGATAACCTAGAGTCACTGACACCTCAACACTTCTAAATGCAGGAAGCTTAAAAGCCCAAAGGCCCTTTTCCAAAAGAAAATCTGAGATGATATCAATTTATCATATATAAGTAGTCATCATCTCTGGAGGCAATTTTGATTACAACTAAGAAGGCTCACACTCCCATATTGTGAGAGTTCAAAAGAAAAAAAATTTTTTTTTCTGAAACTGAGCAATTTCTTTTTATCTCCACTGCTAATAACATCTAAGAGATAAATGTGTCTGGAAAACACAATGAGCAATGGAGAGGACTTCTCAGCAACCTGCTTTTTCTCTTTTAAAAAACTAACCTAAAATGTATTAAGTTATTTCACAGGACTCTATAGTCAAATTATGACAATTTACTTTTGGGCCTTTTATTTATTTTTGTTTTTTAAGACTTTATTTATTTACTTGAGAGAGAGTGAGAGAGAGAGCATGAGAGGGGAGAGGGTCAGAGGCAGAAGCAGACTCCCTGCTGAGCTGGGAGCCTGATGCGGGACTTGATCCCGGGACTCCAGGATCATGACCTGAGCAGAAGGCAGTCGCTTAACCAACTAAGCCATCCAGGCGCCCGCTTTTGGGTCTTTTTATTAATGAACTTTAAGGGATGTAACATTATAAATAATAAAAATATCTAAATGCCCTAAATTTGAAGAATATTATAGATATGGCTATATTACATATGCTCAGAAAAATATAAACCAAAAAGCTGGCAAAATCCTGGAATGAGTCAGAGATTGTATGGGGTTTCAAGGTAAACAATTTGGGAGATGCTATTAGAAAAATATGTGAACTCCATTAGTAAATGAGCTATAGGATTGATTGCAGGAAAGTGGGCTGGGGTGATGCAGCTTATTTAGTGAGCACGTACTTAGGCACGAGGACCAGCTGCCAAGGACAGAGCTACAGCTCTTTTGTCAAGCTGAGTTTTTAAATTTAATCTAAGCAGTCAATTAGTGGGCCAGGGGCTAGGCCATATAATATATTTTAATGTGAAGTAAGAGGTGGAAACTTCTTAAGAGGCAAATTCCTAAGGTTGCAATAGGTTGCCTCAGGTGGTCAAGGATTTCCATCCAGGTGGACAGATGAGAAAGAAAGTTGGGCTTGGTAAAAGCAAGGCCCACCAGGATGTCCTTCTCAAAGCAGGTGGGATGGGACAACACCCTAAGCCATCCAGCTGCTTCACTCCAAGGCTGACTTAGGGAGGGTCTTCCAGACACAAAGTAGCCCCTGGAAAGACAAGGATGTGGCCAGTTTTGAAAAACAAAGGTTTTATGTGGGGCTTTAAAGCCTTGGGATCTCAGCTGTAAGAGGTGCTCATGCTTCTGCATAAAGATTTGCTCCGTCAAATGTTTACAGCAGCAATGTCCACAAGAGCCAAACTATGGAAAGAATCTAAATGTCCATCAACAGATGAATGGGTAAAGAAGATGTGGTACACACACACACACACAATGGAATACTATGCAGCCATCAAAAGAAATAAAATCTTGCCATTTGCAACAACGTGAATGGAACTAGAGGGTATTATGCTAAGCAAAATAAGTCAATCAAAGAAAGGCAATTATCATATGATCTCTCTGATATGAGGAATTTGAGAGGCAGGGCAGGGGGCCATGGGGTGTAGGGAGGGAAAAAATGAAACAAGATGGGATCAGGAAGGAGACAAACCATAGGAGACTCTTAATCTCAGGAAACAAACTGAGGGTTGCAGGGAGTTGGGGAGGGGAGGGATATGGTGGCTGAGTTATGGACACTGGGGAGGGTATGTGCTACGGTGAATGCTGTGAAATGCGTAAGTCTGATGATTCATAGACCTATACCCCTGGGGGCAAATAATATATGTTAATAATAATAAAAAAAGATTTGCTCAGGTATTTCTGACTTGAGACAAGTGGTATCTTTCTGATGCATATCAGGGGAGAGGAAACTTTTACCTACCCAAATTTCCAAGGGGGGTTCCTTCCAATCACAGAAGAATCCCTTTCATTTAAATTAGCAGCTTTAACCTTCCCTGTCCCTAAACCCAAACACAGCTCACACAGCTCACCTAATGGGGTTAAAAACAACCACCAAAAACAAACCAACACATAATGACTTCCATGGAGCTAAGTATCTCTTGTCCCCTTATAAGCAAACACAAAATAAAATATACCCCATCCCCCATAAAGAGGTCTAAAAAGTCACTACTAAAATGTTGCTTGATGAATTTATTTCAAAATCTATCAAAAACCCCAGGAAAAGGCTTCAACAAACTCCATGGAAAATAAACAATTATTAAAGCTAGTAGCAGCTAAAAAGAAGTTGTAAGGAAACCATTACCTTGTCGTTGCGTTCACATAGGAATTTTAGTCTTTGAGCCCTTTTGTGCATAAACACACCATCCAAGTGACCAGTTTCCACAGATCGGATCTCTATGGCCTTTTCTCCCCAGCCCATCGTCTGATTGGATCGAATATATGCTTTTTTTTGGGGGGGGGCACAAACATATTTTAATTGTTAAAGATAAGGAAATAGCCATGAAAAGATGCAGCTCACATAATACATACACACACCTGAATGTCTAGCATTTAATGACTTTTGTTTTTAAGGAACTCTGCCTTTGTAACCTTTTAAAATTTATCCTGCAAAGTGGTAATTTGAATTCCTGAGATGGTTCATGCTTATCATGAGCAGGGATTCACTGGGCACAGAGTTCTGTGCTCATATTTTTATGAAATCAGTCATAAGGAAGGCAGGAAAGAAGTGATAAAGAGAGTGACTAACTGCAATGGAACCAGAAGAGGCTGGCATATAGACTGAAAATTTCAGATACCATCCTTTCTGCCCCTTTTTTCTTAAATGCACACTGGAAGATCAAGAGACTGTGTTTCAAGCTGTGGCTCTGCCAATTGAAAGAACAAGTCCCTTACCCTTTTTCTGTCTCACCTTACTTTCCACAAATCAGTCAATAACATCTGTTCTATTCCCTGGATGTCTTAAGGATTAAATGACAAGAGTTTTAAAAAGTGCTCAATAATTACTTGGATTTTGTTTTAAAATAGATGATAACCAGTCCCACGGTCTACAATTTTACTCTCCATCTATTGCTAACCATTCTGCCAAATGACCAGAAACTCTAAACAACAGGTAAAACTTGTGATAAATATATGCAATTTTAGAGAAGGCTTCCACTGTCACGAATGTTACCTTTTCCCAAGTGATACCTACCTACAGATGTTGGCATCTCTCCCCACTGCAAGACCACATCCTTGGTGATTCTTCCATAGGTATTCACATAAACCCCTTCATCTTCATAGCACACCAGAAGCTCCATGCCATCCGTGTTGGGGAGGATGATGATCGCATGGGGTTTGATGCTACACTGGATCTACAGAAGAGGAACAAAGTATAGAGAAATAGGTTTGTGGTTATTTCTGTCCCCAAAAAATGCTCAAAAGACTGTCCTGGTGAATGCACTGGTTTATATTCTTGGTGAATAAATATAGCAATTGAATAAAATTTTGGAAAACCCATGTAGCATATATCTCAAAGACTACCTTTTACAGGTCATATACTCTACGAGTTCACATTTCTGATGCCCCTGAAACATATCTGGACTGTGGACTCCATTAAGAAATTTTGTTCCCTAAACCATTCCCAACCCAGGGATGTTCTGGCCTGCCAGCAACTGCCCCAAATCCATCCCATGTTAGTCAAAGCCAGGGCTAACAGTTTTTCAGGAGGACCTCACAGAGCCAGGAGAATGGATTTCCACTTGTCTCAGAGCATGCGGCTAGCTATTGAAAATGGCATATTGTTTAAATACTCACCCCCATACCAAGGGGAAGCAAGGAATCCCTGCTTGTGTTAGTTCATTAAGCAGAGTAAAGAAAAAGTCAAAACAAAATGAAGCCAGTCAACCAACCATAGAGTGTGGGTTCTTTCTTACGTGTGTTGGTAGATAAATGTCATAGACGGATCCTGAATCCACATCTACGGCATGGAATCCAGCACAGGATCCATAGATCACTTTCAACCTCTGGCCTTCCTCCACAGTGAGATCCACCAGCAATGGCTTATGTACCAATTCTCCAAATGACTACAAAGTAGTTACCAAGAGAGAAGTAGTAAGACAGAACAGAACTTACTGGATCAAATTAGAGAAGCCAAACCCTAGGTACTCAGTTACTCAATTACTGAGCTACTCTGGCAAAAACTATAAACAAAAATATTCTGGAAAGTAAGTCTTTTTAAATTTATTATTTTTTTTGTCTATCAATCAGCATCTGGAAGACAATTCTTCCAGAAGTGATGCTGCAAATTCCCCCTAGTTGGCCCAAGAATTCCACTCTGTTGTTTGCCTTGCTGACAAATACATCTAAAGGTAAATAATCAGGACCTTCTGTAGTATACTATTCAACTATTCAAATGCAGGCAATGGAGAAAGAGGAGGAGTTGTAGGAGTCACATATTTAGAATTTTTAGTAAGGTCATCATAGTCACCATACAGACTTCTACTTTCATTTCTTGACTAGAGTGATATAGTAATTAAACGCTGTACCGGAAGAGCCTGCAAGACCTGTAACGGACTGGGTGACCCCAGTTCGTCATTAGAATCAATACCTACAGCTTACAAGACAGACTTAAGCAATATACTTATAAAAGCAACTCAGAGAGTACACTTGGTACATAAAGGATATTAAGACCAGATCGCAGAAGAGAACTACAATTTTCCTACCAATTACTTTTAGTCAGTAATATGTGGATTTATTTTTAAAGCAAATATGGTAACTCCATTTATATTGCTTTATTAGGGAATCAAGCAATAAACAATCTAAATATGTCAATTTTCCAAATACTTGAAGTGCACCCTTAATAAAATGAACCAAAAACTAAAAATTAAAAAAAAATAAGTGAATAGAATCATTTTGGATGAAAAATTCTTAACTTCTTGATATGCATTAATACAGCTTCAGGATGCTTAAGGTTTTCTGCCTAATATTAGAAATGAGGTTATTAAGTTATTTATAATATTTAATATATATTACTATACAAGTTATTTGTAATATCTAATGTCATAGTAGTATCATTTTAACTAATTTTAACTAAGAATTTCATAAGTTTGTATCTAATGTAAACTCCAGAATTATAAAAAAAAAAAAATACTAAAAATACCCACAGAGAAAACTGCTAAGATTTTTCCCTTAAACAAAAATGAGTATTCACATTTTAAAACTTACTTTTTCTATTTAAAGAATTAAAAAAAATTTTTTTACTTATTTGACAGAGAGAGAGAGAGAGATCACAAGGAGGCAGAGAGGCAGGCAGAGAGGCAGGCAGAGAGAGAGGGGGAAGCAGGCTCCCCGCTGAGCAGAGAGCCTGATGCGGGGCTCGATCCTAGGACCCTGAGATCATGACCTGAGCTGAAGGCACAGGCTTAACCCACTGAACCACTCTAGCGCCCCTAAAACTTACTTTTTCTATTTAATGCATAGTACATATTCCTTATGTTATGAAGAATTTCTATAATTTTTAGTACTCTGTTGAAGAGATATACCTTCAAGCTGCCTACTGTTGGGTACTTTTTTGTTATCAAAAACATATCTAGGGGCGCCTGGGTGGTTCAGTGGGTTAAAGCCTCTGCCTTCCGCTCAGGTCATAATCCCAGGGTCCCAAGTCGGGCTCTCTGCTCGGCGGGGAGTCTGCTTCCTCCTCTCTCTCTGCCTGCCTCTCTGCCTACTTGTGATCTCTGTCAAATAAACAAAATCTTTAAAGAAAAAAACCATATCTAAATCTTTACACACATGCATGACCTCAGGTAGCAAGTCAAAGTCTACTTTTTACATAGAGAAGGTGTTATTTTGTCCTTTCCTCTGTGACAATATTGACATTTCAATCAAAGTGCCTACCACATATTTAGCTTTCTCCTTCTCATATTCTAAGGACTCAGAAAGCTGAAAGTGAAGCTTATTACATTGGAAATGGCCTCTCTTACGATATAGTTATACACTATGTCATTACGTAGTTTTTTTAAATGATCAGTTTTAACTGCTTAGAGTTTTTAAACTTGAGTTTTATGCCCTGGTTCTTGGTTACACGTGCATGGCTGATGCTACTTGTAAGTACACATGATGCTATTACCTTAAAGGCCATAAATTTGTGATATGGCTTGGGTGCCCACGCATAGACCTCCACAGAACTCTTCAAAGCAATTACCAGAAATTTGATTCTTTCATATTTTACTGAAAACAACAAAAATAAAACAAGAGAAGCACAAGTCAGAATCAACATGGAAATCCAAATCCTGTTGTCTTCTGCAAACTTTACAAATATGCCTTCTATTGAGTCATTAAGGCCAACAGGAGAAAAATACTGAGAGATGAAATCTCAGAGTTTCCTTTTCCAATACTTTATGTATGATTCAGGCTGTTCCTGAATGTATGGGATATATGGGACTCAACTCCAATACTCTGGTTACTATCAGTGAGTACTTTCATTAATGTTCCTAATCTTCTTAGATTGCACGTATTTAACAATCAAGAACAATGTCAGCCATACCACTCTGAAGTCTTAAGGGCTCAGTATTACTTCAAAAGGGTAAGAGTGTGGTTTATCAGTAAAGTATCACTTTGAACCACTTCCTGATTGACAGAGGTAGTGACTACTTGAATTCTGCCTTAAAAAGTTCCGTAAAAAAGGAGCAGTAGTAAAGGAAATTAGTTGAAAATGCCTTCTTCACATAGCTGTTGTGGTTCTCCTGCAGCCCAGTAACTCTGCTTGAAAACAGACACTCTCTGGGTTGTATATCAGTGATGGACCACTGACTTCTACTCCAGAAACCAATAGTGCACTATACATCAACCAACAACTTTTAAATTAAAAAAATAAATAAAAAATAAGTGTGGTCACAGCACTGTAAACAAACAAAGAAAACCCAGATGCTCTCAGGGCCTGTGACTACACATGTAGCTCTGTTTCTTTATAAGCTACCCAAAGTCACACTACTACAGATTCCTTTGTACATGAGCGATGACTTGTTAACTTTGTAACACTCCTTGTTGAATTCCATATATTGTCACTATTCAAATAAATCATTGACATTAATATCAAGACACAAATGATTAAAAGAGGTTGTCCAAACCAGTGCCGTTCAATAAAATTTTCCGCAATGATCAAAAGGGTTTTTTTTTTTGGTTTTTTTTTTTGATCAAAAGGTTTTATATGTGTGTATTGTTAATATGATAGCCACCTGGAATGTACTAGCGCCACTAAGGAACTACATTTTAAAGTTTATTTTACGTTAACTAATTTAATTTAAATAGCCCCTCTTCTTGATGGTAAACTATGCTGTATAGCACAGGTCTTGATAAATGGAATATAATTTCCTGAAAGTACAAAGATAATGAATGAATGGTATTACACACTCTTTTCTCAGAAAATGTTCTGATTCATTTTGTAAGAATGACAGGCCTGAGGACTGCTGTTTTGTTTCAATTAAAAGCCCAGCACTGTCTAAAACATTTGCCTCTAGCTCCCCTTGCAGGATAATCTATTCATGTACATTTCACCTGTTTTGATCTGTTTCATCAAATTTAGACTTAGATGATTCTCATTACACCTCAAAAATTCTTTCACATAAACACAACACAAAAAATCCTAATCCCAAGATTTAATCAAGGAGATAGTACTACCTTTCTAGTAACACAGAATCATTCTAATTTTGGGGTAGCTCCTATAATCATTATTAATCAATGATATGAGAGTTGTAGACAGAGTACACAAATAAGAAAATGTCAAGGACTGTAAATTTCTTGGAAGCAGAGGAACTGACTATAGCATATACTCTATAAACAGAAAAAAATAAAACATATCAGCAGAAATCAGTATATAACAGACCCTTAGGTTGGTCATTCATAGGTATATAGAGACCATGTCTTGTTTTCCTCAAATCCTGATTTCAAATTTTATTATAATGTATCATCTCTCCCATAAAAGTTTAATTTGGCTAAGCTCCATTATTTCCCCTTTATTTCCAACATTAGTACCAGTATTTTTATTTTTTCACACATAAAAATTTGTTTTAGTTTTATTCCTGTGAGCTCTTATAAGAATCACAGCATGCAAGCCAACAACAACAACAACAAAAAAAACAAAAACAAGACAGTTGCTATGAAACACTGGCTGGCCAGCCTAATTCATTTAGTAGTTAAGAGCACAGTAGCTCTGCACAGTGCACTTCATTCAAAACGACAAGCCATAGCTCTTTGGTCAAACTCTCAAACTTTCTATCAGTGACTGACTGCCAAGGACTCGAAGTCCTCTAAATGGGAGAATAGGCCTGGAGCACAAAGCAAGAATCCAAATTGGCTGGCTTTCCTTTGGCAAGGTTTCCTGAGAGAGGTTCTTGTGGCCACAGCTTGTGGAGAAAAATGTGGACTATCAAAGAAGAAGGGTGAAAAGCCTCACTTACAAGATGAACTGTGAGGAAAGAGGGAGCAGCAGGAATGAACGGTGTTACGCTAAAGTACACTGTAAGTCTAGATGACACTTCAGGTTTAGAAGATGCCTTAGAAAACATAATTGCAGAAATGAGCTGGGGGATCAGAAACAACACTAACTAAACCCTGCAAAACAAACCCCCCTGACTCTCTGGGAACTTACCAACTTTATAGTGTACACATCCTTCCAAATCTCCCACAGTTGTCCAACCCTGTTTCTTTTCAACTTCTGGATCATTGTGAAGTATTTTGTTTCTTAACCAGGACAAATAGTAGACACGTAACTTATCCTTTTTGCCTAGTAAAACAAATATAAATATTTTACATGCATATTCAAAGTAGATATCATCATTAATAACAATAGTAGGCAAAGAAATGTCAATGAACAATAAATGTCCTTCTAAGGAAACCACCTCTATGTGTTTTACTAGAACCTCAATTTAAGCTATTCAGATGGACTAACCTATAGAATTACTATCAAGCATAGGCCTGGGTTAGAAGGAAAGATTTTATTTATTTATTTGAAAGAGACAGAGACACACTGAAAGGACAACATGGAGGGCAGAGAGGGAGAGAGAACCCTAAGCATGTTCCACACCTGCTGCAGAGCCTAATGCAGGGCTCGAGCTCACAACCCTGAGATCATGACTTTAGCTGAAATCAACAGTCAGATGCTTAACCAACTAAGCCACCCAGGCACCCCAAAAGAAAAGAATTTAAAAGAATACAGAACTCACACTTATGTAAACAGTCAGTATCTATAAACCATAAAGTTAACACCTGCACACAATACAACCAATAGAACTTATAAGGTGTTTTCACATGCATAACGTTCTTTGATTCTCAAAACTCTTTGGAGTAGCTATTATGTCCCACTAGACAGCATAGAAAGATTAAATAAATCAACCTAGGCAGGGACTCAGATCCAGCAAAAAGCAAACCATAACCTGGAGATGTGTGCAACTTACATAACTGACAGAGGACTCACAACATATAAATCATTTAGAAGAGAGAAAACCCAATAGAAAAAGTGAGCAACTGACCACAACAGGCAAAAGAGGTTATCTCATAGTATGTGAAAAAGGTACTTGCTCTCAATAGTCAATTAGTGAATGCATATTAAAACCATAATGATATATAATTTCACACACCTATCAGGGTGTCTAGAATTAAAAAGACCAGCAGTACTAAAAAACCAACAACAACAGTACTGAAAGTAGGGTGGGTGTGGAGTAACTAGAAATTCAGAAACTAGTGCTGTAAACGGTTAGAACCATTCTGAAAAGTCTGACATTATCTATTAAAGTAGGATATATGCATACCCTACTTATGATCCAGTAATTTCTCCAATAAAAAATGTGTGTGTATGAGACCCCAAATGAGAATGTTCATAGCAGCATTGTTCCTAAGAGCTGTGAACAGTAAACACAAACATGTATCAAGAGTAGAATGAATAAATTGTGGTACAGTCATACACAGAAATGAAATGGAACAAAATAGCTCTATGAGCAACAACAAAATGATGCTGAATAGAAGAAACTAAACATACTAACAAGCTTAATAAGAAAAATCATATGATCATATCAATTGATGTAGAAAAACAGCTGACAAAACCCAACATCCACTTCATGACCAAAAACTCACAGCAAATAGAAATAAAGGGGTAACTGCTTGAATTTGCTAAAGAACGAGTACAAAAAAACTTGTGACAAATACCATACTTAAAGGTGAGAGACTAGGTACTTTCCTCTTTAGGAATGAGGGAAGGGTGCCTCCACTTACCACTCCTAAACATCAGATGTCTTAGCTAATGCAATAGGACAAAGGAAATAAAAGGTATACAAAATGGGAAGGAAGAAATACAGGCTTATTTAAGTAGAAAATACCAAAGAACTGGTTTAAAAAAAAAACCTGTAACTAATAAAATGATTATAGTATGGTTGCAAGTTACAAGGTTCATATATTAAGTCAAGTGCTTTCCTATATACTTGCAATAAGCAATTGGAAACTTGAAATTGAAAACACAACACCACCTATGCAGAAGCACTAAAAACAGGGGTGGCCTGAGTGGCTCAGTTGCCTGAGCAGCTTACTCTTGATTTTGGCTCAGGTCATGATTTCAGGGTTGTCAGGCTGTGTCAACCTGTGTCAGGCTCCACGCTGGACAGAGAGTTTGCTTGAAATTCCCTCCCTCTTCCCCTACTCCTCCCCACTCTCTCTCTCTAAAAAAATAAATAAATCCTTAAAAAGAAAAAAGCACTGAAGACAAAAAAGGATATACTTAATTATAAGTCTAACAAAATAGCCCTACATAAAATCTCATGAGTAAAACTAACAAAATTCTGAAGAAAGAAATTAAGAGAGATCTAAACAGCTGGAGATACATTCAGTGGTCACGGATAAAACACAACATTGCTACAGTATCAGTTGTACTCATCTAAGGAATCAGTGTAATCCCAATCAAAATCCTATCAAGTTATTTAATACATATTGATAAACTGACTCCAAAGTTTATATGGAAAGGCTAGAACCAGAGCAGTCAATACAATATTGAAAAAGAGCAACTTTGGAAGACTGATACTATGTGACTTCAAGATTTACTATAAAGTTACAATAATCAAGACAATAGGTATTAGCAAAAAGAAAAACAGATCAATGGAACAAAACAGAGAGCCCAGAGATAGACCCACACAAATATAATGGGCTGATCTTTGACAAAGGAACAAGGCAATTCAATGGAAAAAGGTTGGTCTTTTCAACAATCATTGCTAGACCAATTGAACATCCACATACAAAAATAATGAATTTGTAGACTTTGAACCTTTCACAAAGATCAACTCAAAATGGATCATAGACCTAAATATGAAATGCAAAACCATAAATCTTCTAGAGGATAATATAGAAGAAAATCTAGGGAAAGTCTCCTTAGATTTAGCAATGACTTTTTAGATACAACACCAAAAGCATGATCCATGAAAGAAAAAAACTGGTAAGTTAGACCTCATTAAAATTAAAAACTTCTGTTCTGCAGAAGACACTGTTAAGAGAATAGACAGACAAGCCACAAACTGGGGGAAAAAATATTTGCAAAACTAAAGGACTTGCACCCAAAATATAAAAAGAACTCTTAAAACTCAACAGTAAGAAAAATAAATAACCCAATTATAAAACAGACAAATGACCTTAACAGATATCTCACTAAAGATGACCAACAGGTGAAAAGATACGAAACATCACGTCATATTTTATTAAAAAATAAAACAGTAATGACTCACTAATACACTAATCCAAAACACTATTAACATCAAACACTGATGTGGTGTGGACCAAAAGGGACTCTTCATCTGTGGCCTGTAGGAACTCAAAATGATACAGCTGCTTCAGAAGACATGCTGGCTATTTCTTACAAAGCTAAATGTTATCTTACGTTCCAGCAATCATGCTCCTAGGTATTTAACTAAACACATGAGTTGAAACCTCACGTCTACACAAAAAGCTGTCCACAGATATTTATAGCAGCTTTATTCCTAATTGCTAAAATGTGGAAGCAACCAAGAGGTCTTTAAATAAGTGACCGGATAAACAAAGTGGCACATCCACACAACAGATTATTCAGCAATAAAAAGAAATATACCATCAAGTGATGAAAAGACACAGAACTTTAAATATATATATTGCTAAAGAAAGAGGCCAGTCTGAAAAGGCTATATACTATATGATTCCAAATATGACATTCTGGAGGTTATATAGTTAGTTTAAAAAAAAAAAAATCAGTTGTTGCCAGGGACTTTCGGGGAGAGATGAATAGATGGAGCACGGGGGATTTTTAGGGCAGTGAAATTAGTCTGCAATGGTAGATAATTAGGTGTTTGTCAGAACCTACTAAACTACAACACAATGAATGAACCTCAGTATAAACTACAGACTTTGGTTAATAATACTGTCAATGCTGGTTCATCAACTAAAAATAAATGTACTACACTAATGCAGATAATAGGGAAAACTGGAAGTGGGGGGTAATATGGGAATGGTCTGTATTTCCTGTTCAGCTTTTCTGTAAACCTACAGATGCGCTTATAAAAAAACACAGCCAGACACAGAAGAATACTTACTGTTTTACCATATATCAATTCACTTCAAAAAAGGTAAAACCAAACTAAGGTATAATTTTAAAGGACAGTGCTTCCCTGTGGGGACCAGGGTGGGCAAGGACTGGGAGGCAGCAGAGTGGGTACTGCAGGGGAGCTTCTGGGCTACTTGGGATTGCTGCACTTCTTCACCAAGGCAGGTGAATGGATTTTAACCATCCTAGGATGGCTGTGACAATTCATTGTGCTGTATATACTTATAATTATACTTTATTATGTCTTATACTTTAATATTTTTAAGTTTTAAAGACTTTTTGAATATGGAAAAATATTCAATAAAATGTTAAATGAAACAAAAACCATGTAGCTTTATGTATATAGTGTTTCATTCCCATATTGTGATAAATATTTATAGAAATGAGAAGGAGGAGGGGCACCTGAATGGCTCAGTCAGTTAAGTATCTCTCTGGGCTCAGGTGATGATCCCAGGGTCCACTCAACAGGGAGCCTGCTTTCCCCTCGTGCTCTCTTTCTTTCTCTCATGCTGTCCCTCTTTCTCTCTAATATGTAAATATGAGGAAAATGAGGAAGAAATATTAAAAAAAAAAGTCAACAAGAATTGTCTTTGAGATGGGGGTAGTACTTTGTTCTATTCTTCCTAAGTTTTTTCTATTTTTGAAGTTTCCTACAATTAACATGTATTACTTTCATGATTGTAGAAACCATTACAAAAGAGAAAAGAATACAGAAAAGTAGACCAAAAAATTATTACTGGTGTCAGCTGATCAGTGATCCCCATAAGTCATCTTGTTCACTGGATCACAAAATGAAGTTTAAATCATTTTTAGCAGCAGATTTATTTTTCCTCTAATTTTAAACCTACTCCCCCAATCAGCACTCAAGTTATAAATGGTTGTTTTCTCACTGAAGTGTGAGATGGATGGAGAAATAACTGCATTTTAACAAAGGCCCTTCACTTAGAACCAAAAGCCCATTTGAAAACTAAAGTAACTCTGAGAAATGTTACATATAGACAAACACAAGAAGATGAGTTAGCAAGTATTAAATCATAGTTGCTGCTGGTTATTATAAGACCTATTTAAAGTGTTTCAATTTTGCATACTCTTGACTCCAGCAATAATACAAATTATTATTTATGCAACATGGATATATATACATAATGGTTAAGTAAACTACAAGATGTATGTGAAAAATGTTAACATGAGAGGGAAAAAAAGGGATAAACTAAAGGGCTCCTAATAGAAGTAAATAAATTTTAGAGTATCTATGCAAAGAAACACTCTATAGCCAGGTAAAAAGGTATCCTGGAGAAATGATTAATGACATGGAAAGAGCAAGTCACATGATCTGGACAAACCTGAATGAGAAAGATACACCCTCACTTCAGGACAGTGGGTACCATGGCAGCTAGATGGGGATGCTAAACGCAGGTACAAGAGTAAGTATTTAACACCTGTTAGAAGTAACGCATCAGTATGTGGGTGTCATTATTATGTAGTTATTCTCTCATTATTATTTTCTATATGTTTGACATGTTGCATAACCATTTCTATCCAGATTTCCCCCCCTTAAGTCTGTATTGAGTGTGTATATGCTTAAAAATGAGAAGTTGAAACTGAAGAGTATCTCTGGATGACTTTACATTTCATTTCTCCTACTTGCTTTTCTGCACTAGTTTTTTATTTTCTAGAATGAACATGTATTACATAAATGAAAAAAAAATACTCTTTCTTTTAGGAAGAAAAAGAGAAGTGTTAACTGATATAAGAAAACATAATATGGTACTTTTTACCATTGTGGCAGAGCACAATGCCTTCTGCATGAAGGAAAGTCCTGTGGGTGAAAGTGGGTACAGACCTACATGCTGGAGAAGCCGCATTGAGCCACACAAGCACCGGGGCCAAGAGTGCTCTCAGGGGAGGGGTCTACTAGATAATGCACATCCCTGTGCTTCTCCACACTGCTCTTTAGAGGAGCAACAGATCCACTGCGTACTTGTCAGTCACATCTGAATACATTTTTCCATCACCTTATTGTAAAACCATGCTATGTGGTTGTACCTCATTTAGCCATTACTTCAAAAATTAAGCTAGGAGAATCTGGGTGGCTCAGTTGGTTAAGCATCTGCCTTTGGCTCAGGTCAGGATCCCAGGGTGCTGGGATCAAACTCTGCATCCGGCTCCCTGCTCAATGGGGAGCATACTTCTGCTTCTCCTTCTCCCTCTGCCCCCACCCATGCTTATGCCCTCTCTAGCTCACACTCTCTCTCAAATAAATACATAAAATCTTAAAAAAAAAAAAAAAAAAAAGCTAATGGAAGTTTAGTGCTTTACTAAATGAACACTTACCAGATATTGTCACCAAGACATTCAAGCCTTCAAGGACATCCATCTGCTGAAATCGTCTTCGGTTAATCAGAGGATATACCTTTCCTTGGCCACTTCTGTCCAGCAGCATCAGGCCACTCTCTGTACCCACTAACAAATTCACTCCTGTTTCAAGGACACAGAAAGATCTGAATTTTATACTGTGCTTAGCAAACAGTCTGGTTGTATAGAAAGGATAACACCACCTATCTGGGAAAGAGTAGTTTCCTTATTCACACACACACAAAAATGCCTGGAATAGTCAGCAGTTAAAGTGACCAAATGACAACAAATCACCACAGAAGAGTGGCAGTCTAAAAAAGGATGTGAGAGAAAACACACACCACATCCCCTCAACCTCCTGCATAATTCACCAGTTTCCCCTGAATGTTTTGAGCTCACCATCTCCTTGGTGTTACAGATTATATATCTCATTAGCCACATGAGACGGTTGAACAAATCTTTGTCGGATACAATGACCTCTTTGTGCTTCCTATATCTGTCTGTCTTTATTTTCACTGGCAAACTTCTGGCACAAGCTATAAACAGCCACCTCAAATCCTTACCAGTTTATGACTGATCCATCACTCACCTTAGGGTTTTCTTAAAGACCACTCTCGGTCATCATCAGAGAAGAAACTCAGTCCTCTGCCCCTAAACTTCTTGGGACTATTAAAATACCGTGACTGCCCCATGGGAAGCACTTCTGGCTTCTCTCTGAGCTGCCAGGGTCTTCCCACTCTCCAGCTGCTCTGAGTCTCCTTCCTGGTTTGCACGCACCTTCTCTGCTTCTTAAACGCAGGTATCTCTTTCACTGTCTTCTGCTGGAGGAGCACCTCAGAACCATCAACGCCTAATTCCATACCCAGCTGCTTTTCTACTTGTTGTAAATTTCTACTGAGACCAACTTCTCAACGTTTGCCCTTCCTGTAACAGTACCACCACCTGCTCCACACAACCAACCAAACTGACCACCAGAACCAGAGACCTCCTTCCTTTCCCTTTCCTCTGCTCCCACCTACTTGAGGCACTGGCCACCTTGTAAGCGATGGACAGAGACTTTAACACAGTCCCTCTACTTTCTCATAGCAGCAATCAAAATGATCCTAATCTTCTTACAATACTCATTCGGTCCTACCATATTTTCCAAACTATACACTCTCTATAGGAGGGTATAAAAGCCTCAATTTGGCACTCAGATCTCTCTGTAACCTGAACCAACTTACTTTTCTCTTTTATCACTCCCTTATTTCCCTGAATACCTTGTTTCCTTGGTCTATAACCTTCACTGTCTAAACCAAATTTGTAACATGTAGGACAGATCACCTTATACTTCCACATAATCAGGCACATACATGTTTGCACTGATTCCCTAAACTGGCTAATAAACTCACTGAGACAGGAATAAAGTATCTGTGCTTTTATGAACCACTCAATCAATAGTTTCAGGTAGACAGAAAGATAGGAAAGAGTAGCATGTATTTCCTTAATCGCAAGATCCAAGTTTTATTACACAGACACACACACACACCCTACTTTCAGAACACTTCCAATGAGCAACTGTGAAGGTAACAATGAAACACCCTCCCAGCCCCCCACTCAGCTAGCTCTGTGATGGTTCTGTATTAAGCAAGTGAAACACCAACACCTGGAGAACAGTATCTACCCAAACCAATTCTTCTGAAGAAACTGGAAGCAACTTTTGGGATCTTGGGGAAGCTTTGGAACCTGGAATTTACATATGCAGTTACTATCACCACCATTCAAACTCAAATAAAAACTTTACCAACTAACAGAGTGCCAGGCTCACTAGGGCAACAGTTACCAATATGCCAAAGCACTGTAAGCTCTAAGCTAACAAAACACTATCCCTGGAGTCCTCAAAAAAACTAAAATGTGTAATGAGGTCCTCATAAATTCTAGACACCTACAGTTTCCAGTAACAATGTGACCTGAAAAACCCCTGTTAAAAAAAAATCTATTAGGCATATGATGCAGGTTTCCATCCTGCCCTTGCGGAAACAGTCTAAGTTTTATGAGAATATCCCTGTCTGTGCTTCCCACACACACTTCCACCAAATCACAGCTGCTTTCCAGCTAGTATGACGGTAGTAAGAACTTGTTAGTGCCTGGCATACTATGAAACGGCTTCTGAAAATTTGAAGGAAGCCTCTCGAATTTTCGGGAAAAGAGAAAAATTTTGAGTATTCACTACCCATCTAGAGTGATCCTTGAAAGTAAACAAAATCCCCAAAATAGGATCATTTGGACAGATAAGGAGAAAGACTTATGAACACATATAGCTCCCTCTATCACCTATAATTAAGATTTTTAGAACGTGCCATTCAGACCAGCCTTGTCCAACAGAACATTGTACCTTGATGTCTGACATGTTAGCCAATGGCCACATGTGGCTCCTGAGCACTTGAAACATGGCTAGTGCAACTGAAGAACTCAATTTTCTACTTTAATCCATTTACGTGTAAACAGTCACAGGAGACGTGATTATCCTAACAGCCAGTGCAGCTATGGTTGATACTGATATTTTATTCAGCAGGTAACATTGTGGCTTTGAACTAGGGTTCACAGTCTTACACTTCAAAGCTTACAAGTCATCACGTTTTCCACGAAAAAGTTCTTTTTTAATAGAAATATCACACACATCAGATAATGACTGAATGCTAAGAAAAAAACTACAGCCCAATTTAAAAACTCACTTATCATCACTGTAGGAGAAATTAATGTTATGTAATGCTCCACTCTTTCCTATCATTTTACTTTTGAGGTTGGCCATTTTGTGACTACCTCCCTATCAGATGTAGAACTACAACAGGACATTATTCTTAGTGTTTTCTCTCCATATACCAATGTGAGATAATTCTAACTAGCTTCACAGTTATTTGAAGCAGAAAAACATTAACTGACAGAGTTGCTTACACATAAGAGTCCATTCTAAAGGTTCCATTTTGTGCAGTATTTCAGTATTTTCTCAATCTTCAGTATCAAGTAGCTGAAAAAGTCGTGTCAAGAATCTGGCAATAACTACCAAAAGTATGAGCCTCTGAAATCTATTATTTGTGGTTTCCAAAAATAAACAGCATCCAAACATCAATCAAGATTTTACAGTAATGAATTAACAAGAGAATAAAAGACAAAGCTGAAAAAGTCTATTCATAAACACACAAAAATGCATATATTTTGGCACTTACACTCCTTGTAATTTTTCATTATATACTTCCAAGAACTGTGTAATTTTGTTAAGTACTAAGTGTTAGCAGTCAAAGGAATATTAACAGTCACTGGAATAACCACCTTGGAAATTACGGGCCTATGAAAAAAATTAAGTTGCATACTGCAATAACCTTTTATAAATGTGCTTTTTAAACCTTTCAACTGTTAGATATAATTAAACTTTAAATGCTAATAGCTCAAAGATAAGCTGTACTAGGCACTGCAATTCTATTCATAGGAATCTGGTGTAGGCTGATGGGGAAAATGGCTAAGAGATCTATAACATGTGATTTAAAGTTTCCTTTAAATTTTATGATGATATTTCAGGCAAAGCTCTGTAGTAAACTGCAGACAGTTTACTATTAAGAGTGGGAACTGGGGTGCCTGGCTGGCTCAGTTGGTAGAGCATGTGACTCTCGATCTCGGGGTTGTAGGTTTGAGCTGGATGTTGAGTGCAGAGATTTTATTAAAAAAAAAAAAAAAAAAGAGTGGGAAAAATTATGTTCGAAATATGTGTTAAAATAATTCTGACTACAAAGGGGAAAACGGTCTTATTACAAAAATGTAATAAATATATAGTAACTAACAAAACAAAAGTCAGTTACATAACATGATTAAAAAAGAATGCTTGAAGCATCATGTTCTCCAGAAGGCACACAAAAAATCCATCTAACCTATCTAACACTGATCAGATTTCAAATGTGTCACCATTTCAAAGTAATACTATAGTGTCCTCTGAATTTTCTCCCCTTGTTGGTCTATCACTCTTACAGTACAAGTTTTAACTTTTCTAGGTCTAAGTCTCTGAGAGGCTTATTTTCAAACTTAACTTAAAAGGCTTATTTTTCTGACTTACTTTTTAGCTTAGCTTAGCAGTTTAAGGAAACCCACCATCAATGTGCCCCAAGCCAAGGAACAATTCAAATATACCAATTTACAGAAAGAGATTTCAACTTTATGTCATCTGCCCATCTTTCCTTTCCACATACTATTAAAATGGAAGTTCCATTACATTTTTAAAAACACAAGCTCAAGATACTCTCTTCTCTGAGGTATTAGAGAAGTTAATTAGGAAATAGAAGGATTTTAGTTAAAAAAAAAAAAATCAGTTAATGGCACAAAACGGAGTCCAGCACTTTGTAGGACAGTAGAGGAATATAAATCAGTGTAAGACTGTTACCAGGTGCAAACATTCTAGATAAAAGTTACTTCAGCAATTTCAAAAGAATTAACATAATTTCTACATGAGATATAATGTGCTGAATTTTGATGATATATACTCTCCCATGGAGGGCCTTCAGAAAGAACAAACACGGTGGAATTCAACCCTGTGATGTGATCACAACTTGCATTCCCAGAGCAATACTTCACAGTGCTGAGCGGTGACAACACAGTGACAGCTGCCTTTCATGATCCCAGTAATCCCCTCCAAGTGGCTACTGTTACCTTTGCCTATGAGGTTAATATGGGGGACTTAAGATATTCCGTGATGACGAGGACAGAAATTCAGAACCCAAAGAGTGAAAGAGGAAGTAGGTGTGTCTGCAAAGGGAAGAAGCCTCTCCTGGACCCCTCCGGAGGAGGCTGCGCAGGAGCTGGGGAAGGGAGAGAAGTCAATGGACAGATAAAAGTCTAAAAGGTGAACAAGGAGGAACTTTTAAGAAGTAACAGACCCCCTCTTCAACAGCAGGACTGAGGAACATCTCGAGGTTCAGGAAGTAAGCACTGAGGCGCTCACGTCAGCCTCAAGTCTTGAGAGAGGTTAGGGGTTGAGGGTGAGGGGTAAGGTGGACATAGAGCTGATCTGGTCACTGGAGACGCAGAGGCCATCAGGAACACTCCAACAAACAACACGCTGAGGTCGATTTGCTATGCACTCAAACCAAAATGGATCGCATGTCTTCTGTCCACTTGTACTTGCAATCAAGGGAGGAAGAAACTAACTAGAAATAGGGTCTCTGCTAAAAATTTCAGAGTTTAGCCAGGAGGAGAACACTTTGTTAAGTGTGGGATTGGAAGACAAGGTAAGTCCAGTCTGTGGGAGTGAGGAAGGTGATGGCCCAGGGGAGAAAGAGAGGCTAGCCTCAGAACGAGAGAGGGCAGAGTCCTCACGTGGCACCCTCCTCAGGCATAGTCTCTCGTGCCGCTATAAGCTGTGAAGAGGCGGCACCACCAACATGCAGATGGAACAGGGAAAGGCCGTGCTACGGTCTCCTTCTGCACATTCTGGCCCATGGCAAACTGCTTTTAAAAGCTTCATTTCCGGGTGCCTGGGTGGCTCAGTGGGTTAAAGCCTCTGCCTTCGGCTCCGGTCACAGTCTCAGGATCCTGGGATCGAGCCCCGCATCGGGCTCTCTGCTCAGCAGGGAGCCTGCTTCCTCCTCTCTCTCTTTACCTGTCTCTCTGACTACTTGTGATCTCTGTCAAATAAATAAATAAAATCTTAAAAAAAAAAAAAAAAGCTTCATTTCCATGTTAGGCCCAAGTCATGAAGAGCAAGGAAAAAATGTTCAATGGAAACATTTAAAAAGCAATCCAACATGCTTCTTCATTCTCCCTATAAATAAAGACCAAATCAAATGTCCTTCTCATCTTTTTACTTTTTGCTTTCCATCAAAGAATGGGAGCTCAGTCCTTCATGCCAATACCCGGTGGCTGAAACAAGTGCAAGGCCGTACACGCACCTACATGATTCTGCAGGAGGTACCAAGAGTGAGCATCATGGAAGACTTCCAACTTCTCTGTCAACAACTCTTTACAAAATCCCCAAATTGTCCAAAATAGTACCTTTTCTAAAAGACCAGTCCACCCTTCAGAAAAATAAAAAGATGACATCACAGTAGCAGCAGTAAGATACCTACCCCATAAGGCAGCGCACAGAATCTCAGAGTTAAATCTCTTCTTATATTTACGAATCTCCGGGGTGTCACTCTGTGGCCTAGTGTTGGTGGGATTCACATTGACCACTGAGCCCTTCCGGGTAGGATCTTGCCTTATGGCTTCTGGTCTCATCCCATCACAGGAAAATCCCACTAGAACACAGTACATTTAAAATTATTTTCTTCGCACACCAACACTGCACCTGCCTCCCTCCCCCGCTATACCTCAAGTGAGTATTCATATGCTATAAACCAACTCTTTGTCAAAGAAAAGAAAATTGTAAGAAATGTATATGGAAAAAGGAAACCGACTATGCAGCTCATTGCAAGTAAGGCAATGCAAGCGGGATGGGTGTTTCTGTATCCGAGGTCTGTGCCTGCAAAGAACCACCAAGCCATGCCTAAGCCACCAGAAAGAGTGACACAAAGTGACTGAGTCCTGTTTGTCAGCTGCTTTCTTGCTGCTAGTTTACTTACCCACAGAAGTCACTGTTGTCCCACTAGATGGAGAAATCTGTAGTAATCTGGGGTCTATAAAAGGTGTAAAGGAGGAGGAAGATTTGTGTTTCTGGAGTGTGCTACTAGCGGACTGAGTCTGCAATGTAAATTTCAATTTTATTAATACAAATGACATTAAAAAGTTGAACATAAAACATTTCAATCCACTTCTGTACTGCATGGTTTCCCACTAGAAAGACCTATCCCTCCTGCATCATTTCCCCCAAATGCTCTCAGGGGTGCCTCTGCATGTGCACAACACACCCCACCAACAGGCTGTTCAACCTGGAACCACCAAAAGAGCTACATCTCCCTTCAGATATACTGCTCATCTAAGACAGGAGGCTGAGAGCTACCAACAAAATCTATACTTCGTGCTCCTAGTTTTTTTTTTTTTTTAATAATTATAATTAAAACTCCTAAAGGAGGTTTGAAATGTCTATCTCAGTTCATCAATTTCTGAATTTACTCTTCAGCCCAAAAAAGGCCAATTAACCTCTGTTGGAATACTGGCAAATCCTGACTTTCTATTACTCATTTTAACATGAGCCTCTTGCCAGAAAGCTACAGAAGCTTTGGCTACCACCATTTAGGTGCATCATCAGTAAACCCGTATCGAACAGGGGTTCATCAGTGAAAGGTGCAAATGACAAGATATGGCACATACTTTTGCTCTTTTAGGAGCACTAGTGTTTTGGTTAATAGTGTAATTTAAGACAAAAATAAAAAGAAAACACAAAGAAAGTGAAACAAATTGTTAAGTGGAAATGTAATGACAATTAAAAACAAAACAAACAGAAAAATAAACTTGCCAGTTTAGTGAGTTAAGGGTTATAGTAAATACTGTACATTAGAGCAAAATGGAGCCAAGTTTAAATATAAATATAAGGAGAAAAGTGAGTGTAGGTGGGATAAATCACTGGAGAAAAAAGAACACTTCCAATCAAGTGCTTTTTAGTCCTGAAAACTTTCTCGCCCTCCACAGGCAGCTAAAAGTCGCCATGTCCTAGAGCCTGAGCCTGCCCACGCTCCCAGGCTCTCTCCTTCCACTTCACATATAGCTGTCTGCTGGCAAGCTTCCCACCCTGTCCTATGATCAATGGCCAATCCATCCGATGGCCAATCTTATGCAAGCCCACCTTAGAAGTAGTTGACTTGCCCCTGCTCCTCAGGGGGAGAGGATTATTCTGATTCTTTCTCAAAAGGGAACCAAAATCAGAATAGGTAGAGACAGCCTGGCAGTTAAATGTTTACATTAACAAGATTGGCTGAAGCTACGTGCCACTTTCAACCTCCTTCAACTGTTAGCCAAATGCATTTAAACCAAACCTCCCAAGAAATCAAACCACATGTTTAATTTAGTACAGGGTGCTCAAGGTGGACTCTGTCACTGCATGGGGAGAATAATCTTGTTCCAAAGAGCAAAGCATCACCCACCTAGCACCCAGACTGAGCACCACAGCCAAGCCTTCAAACGAGCACACAGGATTTCCCATTCAAAATTTTAAATTAAAAGCATGCTCAGACCTTTGCTCTTCTTAGCATCCTAATTTTCTAGAATTCTCTAAAAATCATTTGGCCTTTTCTGTGAATTTCAAGGAAAGAAGTCCTTTTAACAGGGTTGGTGAAAACAAATGATTAACCAACCAACAATCTCCCCCTATCAAAAACAAAAAGCCATCCAGCCCTGTTTGAAGGAGATTCCTGTAGAGGATAACAAGTGTGTCCAGGTAAGGCCAAGTCTGCTTAATCAAATTTTTTCTATATTTTACTTGTCAGTTAAAAAGAATGAAAAAGGCAGATTCCACAAACGACCACAAGAATTTCATGCCAAATACATAATGGATCCAAGAACACAGCAATCATTTTATTTAGACTTTAAAAAAATAAACTGAATAAAGAAAGCCATGCAACTACACTTATCTAGAGAAAAGGAAACAGTGAACTGGCAAGTTGAAGGGACATTGATCTAGGGTTACGGGATTTGTATGCAGATCTGAAAAATGTTACTTAGGGTTGGGGAGAAGGGTAGGTGACAGAAGAAAGCGGGGGGGCGGGGTGAGGGGCGTGGGAGAGGTCTCCTCTGCAAACTAGCTACTAGGCAGTGCTGGTCGAACCCTAGGAAAGCAGCCAGCTGTGGTGCGAGACATACCTCATTAGTAGTGAGCTTGTCCTGGGGTGTCTGTGGGGACATGGTGGGTGTCGGCTGGCTGGAGGATGGGGAGGAGGAGGTGGAGGAAGTGGAGGAGGAATGGCTTTGCTGTAAGAGATCTGGCAAGAGGTGAATGCGACCGGCAAAGCCATTGCTCTCATGATGGCTGGCGCGCTTTTGGTCAACTGTACTCTGTAGAAAAAACAGGCACACTCGTCTCGCTCAAGCGCTGCTGAAATTCCCTATGACCCTACTGATAACTGCCTTAAAGATGCTGTGTGACTTTTCAAACTCCGTTAAATAATCAAGGAAGGACCACAGGAAACTGGTCGGAACTGTTCACACTTCGTCGCCGAATGCAATTCAAAGTGCCTCATCTGGTGGCCACAGGACTGGAGCATGACTGCCTAACCTGGGTTAGCTGCCACTCTAGCTGTTGTTAACAAAACCACTCGCCTTTCTTTTCCTTTAAAAAATGTTCCTGTCTAAAGCTCTAGAGTACCCTGTCACTTCTTTGAATCCTGGTCTTTTCCATGTTCTTCCCACTTTCCATCCAAATGCAATGCCATTGCATGAAACACACTCAGGAAAACTCCAACACTAGAAAGGCGCCTGTTCTATGTCCTGGGAAGCGCACTACTTCTATGTCTTCTAAGCTAAGAAATGAACAGACAGTTGTGAAGCTGAGCAACCTGAACCAAGCACATCGGGGTGGTACACATTTAATATTCAACGAGTGAGGAAACGAACATTTTAGAACACGCAAGAGCGACCTCCCAGCCCTTCTGCTCCAGAGGCCCTCCTGTGACTGATGAGGCTCATCCGCTCTTCCACTGCGCCTGCCTAAGGGCTGCTCCTGTGATAGCACTGTGGACCCTCAGCTGGGAGCTCTCTGCAGAACCTCTGTGGCTGCTCTGCTCCAGACTGGGCTCTGCCTCCTCGCTCTTCGAGCCTGCTGAAGGGACTCCCTGTGGCTTTTCTACTACTCAGACACAGACTGTGAGATTCAGCGTGGTGCTCAAATGAGGGCTGCCGCAAAACATGCAGAGGAGCAGCGATGTGGGGTGGAAGACTGCTAGCTACCTTCTGGGCATGCAGCACATACCTGCCTCCCTAGCCCCCAACACTCTACCTTCTGGGTCTTGTTAACATGAAAACAGATGATGATGTAGAAACAGCATGAGTGAGTGAATGAGCAAGTGGGTTAATGACTACAGGAGAAGCTCTGCCTCTAACAACAGAGAGAAGACACAGGTACCTGGCGGACGATGAGAGTGCCTTCCTTGGATGGGGTCATGGCTGGCTCACTTTCTACATCATCATGGACAATCATGGTTTTCACCGACTCTGTTTCACCATTGCTCAAATTCAGAGACGACCTATTGAGACAAAATTCAGAAGTGAAGGGCTATCAACCCATGAGCTGAGAACATCCTGTTTAGATTTTTCACCTTCCTAAAGGCCTAAGACGAGATCAGGCTACAGAGAGAGTTTCCTCCAAGAAAACAAATGCTTAGTTCTTCCCCTTCAACAAAGAACTTTCTGTCAGTATAGTCTGCTTTTGAGCAAAAATATCTAGAGTGAATTCTCATGGTTAACGTGGTTCAACCAAACTGAAACTTCCCTTTTGTCATACCCTCAAATTAAAAGGAAAAAAAAAATAAAACATACATTGGGGTACTGGAGAGAAGCACTGACACACACGTGCACACAGACAAAGAGAAGGAGGAAGAACACAAAGGCCGCCTGCTGCTGAACCCAGGAGAGCTCAATGGTTAAGTGTTCATACAGTCAGGATAGGTTTAGAAAGAACTGCTTCTAAATGGGAAGAAAGGTCAGTGGAGACGCTCTCAGCCTCTCTAAAATACACCAAAGACTGACGCTGCTCTGGTGTCCTCTGGTCCAGAGGTGGCTTCCTCCGCCCCTTCTTGTTCTACATCATCGTCTTCCTCATCTGTCGTCCCTGACTCCTCACTGGATGAGGAGTAGTCTGTCACTTTGTGTGGTGGTCGCACATCTTCCACTGCTCGAAGCTCTTTGGCCAGTGCAGTCAAATCCTAAGGCATAGGACAGAAAAGACAGTAAGGCAAAGAGGTGTGTGCCCAGGGCAGTGGGAAGAAAACAGCAAATTATAAGACAATCTTCATTTTAATTATTGATAAAATAGCCACGGCATCCATTTTGTAAAACTATTCTGTATTTACTAGTATCACAGGAAGGTGAGCTCTTAAAGCTTTTGATAGAAAAGACTAAAAAATGTAAAAAGATAAGGGGAAAAATAAAAAGCAAAAAATGTTGTACACAGTTCATATTTCACAAAAATAAAAAACATAATCTGCTTATGATAGGCTAATAGTGCTTTTTAAAAACCCTAACATAAAATTCTAAATCAAGAATTGTTGTGAAGGAAAATCCTTGGAGGTCTGCCTATTTAACAAAGTCTTCTTTCAAAGAGATTATCCACGAAGCAAGATTCTAGTTAAATTGGGCTGACTGAAAGGTTTTCTTTGGTGAACTTGTTATTTTTAACTCCACCTTTTAACAATTTCCAACCTACGAAAAGTAAGAAAGTGAGTATACTATTCATATCTGACTTCATAGAGTGTTAACAACTTGCCACGTTCCTAAGAAGGTCCATGACACAGGAAGTGAAAAAGTGGATGCAGTACGTGCTGCTGTGGACAGGAGGTAAGGCACTTCTCCCTTGCACCACGTGACCCATGTTTTCCTGCAACACTGCCAACAAGTACAAACAGGAGATAGAAAGGAAATCTATTTTAAAAGACATTATTCAAAAGTAGCTTCATTTCCCATGATTCTTCCATATGAGATATTTTAACACTCAATTTATCTACATATAATTTTCAATTGTCATTATTATGTATACTCTATGCTTTCACGCAGAAGTCCAAGGTTTCTACCTGGGAATCACATATTTAAAAGTAATGACTTTTTTTTTTTTTCTTTTTTTAAAGCAGGCTATGTAGTCATTTTTCCTTTTTCTTTTTAGCAGTTCCAAAGGAGTTTCCTTCTCCACAGTTAAGAATATGCTGCTCTTCTTTGAGCCTGAGCCTCTAAAAAAACAGTGTATCAGACCTTCAGTGTTACTATTTCATGATTACAACTGTGGCTTTTTAGGAAGTTATTTTTAGAAGTTCTACGTAGTAATAATAAATATATGCAGCAAATTCTATGTTAAAAAAGATAAAGCAGAAGCTTAGAACTTCTGAGTTCTAGAAAAGAACAAAAAGGCAAGTTGAGGGAGGAAAAGAAATACAGATGGATTATAAGCTAAGCTTAAGAGGCAGTTGGAATGGTGCTCTGCTGTGGCATTTTCCAGAGACGGGGCTTACCACTTCGCCCTTGAGCGCAGGAGCAGTTTCATTGAGCCGGAGAAGCCATCAGTGATGAAGAACGCACAGCATAAGGAAGCATGGGAGAAAGAAGGGGAGTGAGGGGAAGGACAGGCATCAATTCAAGCAGGAAATCAAAATTCCAAAAGGCTTTCAATCCCACAATGGGCACAGTTACATGGTCAGTTAATGCATCAAGGATTAAAGGCCAAGTATGAGGAAGTCACAACTGTCACTCCCAGTACCAAAAGGCAGAATTTAAATAATAGGTGAGTTGAAAAAGAAGATGATGTAAAAAAATTTACTCTAAAAACCAGTTTTGTAAATGTCCAACTCATCAAGAATACGACAAGGTTAATGTTGAACAAAGTGATAAAAAGGGTTTTCTTTCTTTTGTACTAAAAAAAAAAATGACAAAGCAGTGAGGCAGGGTATGCACAAATGTGTCTGAGAACATGGCATTCCTTCCAATTCCTCAAATCTGAGCGGGGCAGGGGAGGGGGGAAACCCTACAGAAAGGACTGCGGGCCTCTCGACTACATATTTTTAATAGAAAGACCTCACTTAAGCTTAGAATAAGTAAACAGATTTTGTATAATTCTTACAGCAGGCTTGAGAGGTCTGAAAACTTCTTTCTTTTCTTCAGGTTTTTTCACTGCATTTTCTAGGCGCTGAGATGGAGAGCCTTCAGATTTGGACGATGCTATGAAATTCAAGAAAAGACAAAAAGGGCAGAAACAGATAAACGCAGAGAAGTATGTCACAAACCTGACCTAGCCCACCTAGCCTTTGTTTCTCTCCTGTTCTCTTCTGCCCACTTCTGGTAGCCCCGCTCAAGGCAGGTGTCCACAAACAGACCTGACTCTGCTTAACGTTTTCACAATACCTTGTTACACTATGTCAATAATATAAAAGAGAGAATTTTCATTAGCTTATTATTTTGAGGATGAAAATAACCAATAAGGATGACAGCACTGATGGGAATCTATACTGAAAGAAGTGGGTTCAAATCCTAGCTCAGACATTTAGCTAATCTTATTGGACAAGTTACTTAACTTCACTAAATCGCAGTTGCTTTAATTTGTAAAATGGAGACACAATACATCTCTCTCTCTCTCTCTCTGTCTCTCTTATGGAGTTCTTTTAAGGATTAAATGAGATCATGCATATAATGTGCTCACAGTGCTAGGCATGTGTGAGCTCTCAAAAGTGAACAAGTGAACTCTATATTATTAAAATTATGGTTATCATTAGCAACCTGCACTGAAACACTGTTTTGTGATACGCAGCTGTGAAAAAAACCACAGGCCTTTATACAGGATTAAAAAGGATCTCCAATATCGTTAATGGGGTAAGGGAAAAGCAAAAGTTTCCTACATCTCACTCTGAAGCGCTCCCCAGAGCCGCTCTGAGACCCCGGATGGGACCCAGGCTGGGATCCTGAGTTGCTGGACCCCGAGGAGCTGCCACTGCCAGGCCTGGGCACCAGTTTCTCCACTCTCTCCCACAGCAGCCTGGGCTCAATACTGCTGTTAGAAAAGAACAAAGAACAGCTAATGCATTATCCCAAGATGTAGTATCAAATTATAAACAGATGCATGATGTGTCCACCAATGTCTCTGCAATGTAGGTATAATGAGAAAAAAAATGGCCTACAAACAGCATTCAACATTAAATTCATCAAGTTACAATGACATCATTCATGGATTTTACTCAGATATCCTTTTGTAAATTGTAGTTGACACACAGTGTTACATTAGTTTTGGATCTATGAAATATCTCAGATAAGCTTAAATCAAAAATGTTAAATAACAGACTACCATTAGCCAGACCCCAAATCTTTTTAACAACTGACAAGAAATGCTACTGTTCAGTCTAAAAATGTTACTATTCCTGTCACAGCTATAAACTCAGTTTCTTAATATAAAAAAATTCCACTTATATAATCACACATAAATTATGCTGTTCCTAGGCTGTTGCTCTCACTGTCAATCAATGTCTTTAAGAGCCAACGCTTACTCAGCCAACGCATACTCCTTTGTATGAACCCAGTTATTAAGGGGCTATGGGGCTATGATGCTCCCCAACCATGGACGCACCCAGAGCACAAGTTTGTTAGATCACAATTCATACACAGACTCAGTCAGTCACAGGAGAATCCCACAGTGTACCCTGATCATTTAAGGACTAAGAAGGCTCTCTGCAGCTTCTGGTCTGTCATCCATCTTTGTGTTCCAATTATATCAAGGCTCCAAGTACAAAAGGCTAATTTCAGAGGTTCGGTGATGATTAAGTACAAAAGAGTCAACATAGTGTTCCCTCCTTCCCCTAGGATGGTACTGGCCAATGGAAATCACTTGATAGGATGGAAATGTTCGATCGCTGACTGGTAATAACATGGTAGCCATGCCTGCACGTGGCTACTGAGCACATGAAATGTGACTAGTGTAGCTAAGGAAATTAACTTTTAATTTTACTGAATTTTAATTAAGCTAAATTTGAATTTAACTAGTATAGCTAAGGAAATTTAAATTTTATTGAATTTTAATTAAGTTAAATTCAAATTTAAGTAGCTTCATGTGGCTAACAGCTACTGTATAGTACACAGAACAGATCTACAACCTAAAAATATTTGGTTAATTCACTAGTTTATTAGAGACTGTAAGTCAACCACTGACTTTCCTTTAGTAGCCTGTTTGTGTTTTCTGCACCAGTCCCAAGCACTTGGGACATCCTTCAGATGACAAGCTTCCTCAGGTTCCAATTCTCTTAATCTCTCCCTTGCCTTTCCTGCCGTTTCATCCACTTGCTCTTACAGAGCCAGGGAGTTTTCATTTTAAAAGTGCTAAAATACACAAATGGATTCAAACTCTCTTTTCACTAGAGACCAGTTTGCTGTTATTCACGATAATGGATTTTCTAGCAGTTTTTCTTTCATAAAGTGACCATCTCTTTACCTCAGACATTCCATGTTTATGAACATTTTTATGAAAATGAACATGATGTAATATGCTGGGCAGTAAACCTGTTCTTAAGCTTCCCTCTTCTCTTACCTGGTGGAGTTCCTTTGACCGGCTTGGCTATTTTGCTGTCCACTGCCTTGCAGTGGGGAATCCCGACGGGACAGAACAGGGGAACGAGACGTTGTCCTCACCGGAACCTTTGGGTAGAAAAACACAGCAATTAAATTACTGAAAATATGAGAAGAAAAAAGATTTTCCCAAAACATTTTTAGAACATTCCTATTTACGTGAGCCTTACTATCACTACCCCCGCCATCCCTGATTCTTCTCTGCCCTCCACTGATAAAATACAATAGAGAAAATTTAGTCAAAGGCATCAAAGGAGCCAGGACAAACAGCATTTCTATGCTTCTGTAACATTCAAATGATGTTTGGACTGAAGCTTTGTGGCAGGGGACATACAAAAGCATTTTGCTGAGATAATGTGAGAATCAGAAAAATAAGCTCAAAGAAATCAAACAATGGTCTACAAATGGATCAGCAGGAAACAAAGACTGGTAGGAAGCAAGAAAATATTCAGAGGAAGCAAATTCCAAGTGGAGGGAAAATAAACGAAATGAAAATGTGCCTTTCGTTTAATTTTACCATTAAGTAATTACCAAAACAAAACACAAAAAATTTTAAAGGAAACCAAAAATCCCTCAATTTAAAAAATAAAAAAAAAAAAAAAAAACATTTTTTGGGAATTTTCAATGCAAAATTTTCCTTAAAAGAACCTTTTCTGAAAATTTTGATATTCATTAATATTCCAAAATAATTTGTAGCTTTTGTATAAATGCTTAAGACAACTGCCAAAATATATTTTGATTCTTTTTATTCTAGGAGTATATTCTTTATAGACTTACTCATATATTATTCTGTTACTTTGTGTTTAAGTATAGAGTTAACAACAACCATAAAAAAGCTAACTGGCTGCTGACTGAATATAACTGCATAACTATGGAACTTTCCCCACTGTAAAAAGTTCCTTTGAAGTTTCATTGCCCCTTCATTCTGGTGAAGTCACTATACCCTTAGTTAAAATAAATAATTTAAAAAAAAATTAACAAAAAGGAAAAAAGCAGCACACATCTGTCTTTCTGCTTCTTACCCTTGGAGGCACCTCGTCACTGTCTGATCTAGACCAAGCCTTTTGGGTGGGGTCAGGTACCTCCGACTTAGAGTCAGAACTCTGACTTAGCACCTCACTGCGGGAAGGTGGACATGGGTCCTGAGAGCGAAGATGGTGGTGTGCAAATTTGGGAGGAGAAGGGTCACTGAAGGAATGGGATCGCGAGACAGGGGAAACATTGTTCTTGAGAGATGCCAGGTGGGACCACTGTACCTTACAAGAAAACAAAACACAAAACATTCAATGCGTTCTGCATAAAACGCTTTTCCGGTCAATACCAAATCCAAACCAAGAAGTGGGGTAAGGCAAACAGGGGCAATACAGTCCTAGGTAAGCCAAGCAGTGGAACAGTTATACTTCTAAGTGAAGAAGCAGTCTGAGGAACACAGTATATAGAAAAAAGCAAATGTACATTTATAAGGAAAACTCTTTTAATATCCAGACTAACATTACAGATAGCAGTAAACATGAAGATTAATGAAACAAAACAAAACAAAGCAAAAAAACCCCTCGTAGATCTCTGATCCTAAAAAGGAGGACAATGTGCTCCATGCACATCCATGTCAAAGCAGAGTTGACAGGCAGAGAGAGAGAGAGAAGGAGGAAAGTAAAATCACAAGACAGACACTGCCATTCATGCAGACCTAGCTATCCATTCTTACGGCACCTGGCAGCATAAGGTTTCACACCAAATAACCACAGAACAACACATTTCACGAGCAAAGACAAACCCCTTGTATGTTGGCAGACTACGGTAATACAACTTAAAAACAGCCAACTTTTCAAATACACCCTCAATTTTGCTGCTTTCTTCTCCCAAGTCCTAAAACACTCAAACCTTAGAAATCTCTTTACATGTTCACAGTAGTTATGAAAAAAGGAATTTTGGTTTCTCTAGGAATATTCAATACTATCATTCCCTCTCCTTACTGTTACTGGACTATATGCCTTCTACTTGACAACTGAAAAAACAGGACAACTACTTGTCATCTGAGTTAATCTGGTTTGCTTTTTCAGTTGATAAAGCAATCTCTGAAATAGTCTGTATCTTCTTTATTGTATTTTATTATTTTAAAATAAGTGTTAAAGATTGCAATTTACAAAATTCTAGCTATGCTATCCATTATATCAACATATTTAATGAAAACTAAAAATACCAAATCACAACTGGTTCTACCTTTCCAAATGCAAGATTCAGAGTAAGTCCCAGGTCATGATTTCTATTACTTCTGGGAGAGTCACATATTCTACTTCTTGGTGGAATAATCTCAGAGTGGAATAATCTCGGATTGCTAAAATGTTTAAAATTTTCAGGGGGAAAAATGTGAAACTGAAAGTATTATCTGTAACTATAATAAAAAATGGGCTTCAAAATAAGAATCCTAGTCTCCTCAAAGAATGTTTTTGTAAGTAGAGGTTTCAGCCCAAAGCAGCTTTCGGTAGAAGGAGGAAAAGGGAGAGAGACTATCTCTAGGCACTACATTAGTTAATTAATATAAAAGTAGCCTACATAATTTGGGAATTCCTATTTTTTAACCAGTTCATGGCCAACAGATAAAAATTTCTATCTGCGGTAACTTTAACTTGCAGAATAAAGATTTCAGTCCTAGACCCTTCATATAAGTGCTGTCAAACCTAGTCTGCCAGTCTCTCTTCCCTCCCCTCTGTGTCACTTTCCTTGCTCTCTGGCTTGTGGGCCCGCTCTTTTGCGAATCAAGAAACTGCTGACCCCATATAAATATCTCCCTGCCCCTCAAAGCCCCCCACTCCCACAAACATGCCCTTTGCTTAGGTCTGGATCTTCTTCTCCCCGCCTGTTTTTAACAACTCCTCCACACTGGGATTATTTATTTTAAAGCATGTTCAAATCCTCACTTGGATTAGTTTTTCAGAACACCACAGCTACTTCTATCACAAGAATATGAACTTTTATCCCCTAACATTTGCAAACATCAGTAACTGGTAAACTCAGGCTTAAGAACTTGTTCCCAATATTCTGGATCACACAGCTTCAAGGAGCAAAATATCTGAAAGTCACTTATTTTCAGTAAGAAAATGGCAATCTGTGTTTTAAGGATCTTTTAGATCCAACAGCCCCACTGTTGCCTTCCTTCTCTGGATAGTACAGGGTGCTCTCTTTTAACCACACAGTACTCAGCCCAGGGGGGGGTTCTCCCTCACCTAGACTAGGCAGAATGCTGTGGCCAACCCAATGAGAGGTCATGACCTTTACCCTGACCTACTTCAGGGAAATGTACACTTAACCTGTTAGAGCATATCTTTTTTTGGATTTTGAACCTTTTGAGAATCTAATAAAAGGCCCTTTTCTCAGAAAAATATGCACAGTTGGACAAAACCAAGAAATTCGACATGTAATTTCAGGGCAGACATTGGTTCTCTAAAGCTCACTCATGGAACTGGCCAGGAGCCAAGGACCAAAGCTATGATTCTCCCTCTATGTACTTATGGTACTAATATTCTAAAACCTAAATTGAAAAATTTTTGTATTAGAGAAAGGAGGCACTTGTTTATGAACATCTGAGTTAGGGAAGACAAAAAGACTAAAAGAAGAAATCAGTGAATCTAGATACTCTTAGTAAGAAAAACAAAAATCTTAAAACAAAAATCCTTCTTTTCTCTATCAACTGAGGGTATTTTGCCTGTACATTAATCAAAAATCACTTCTGCTCATCTCTTTTCTTTCTAAATGTGGTAACAAACCAAACTGTAAACATTACAAGCAGGCCCATGGCTTAGTGAGCTATGGTGTGAGTCTCCTTGGCCCACAGCCACCTGGCTGTTGCTACCTGTGGCTCAGCTGGTCTCTGCAGGGCAGGATGCACAGACTCGGAGTTGCCATTGGAAAAAGACTCTGATCTGGAAGGCACTGGTGGCTCCAATACTCTGCCTGTCTGCTTAGACTGGGCTTCAGGGGAGCTGTGGTTAGTTTTCCTAAATCTATCTTCCACCTGCATCAGAGAATTAGAAGACATAACTTAGTGTTAGTAGGGAAAAGCAGAGATCCCGAAGAAAGCCTGAAAGTGGAAGGGTCCTAGAAAGAATTTTTCTGTTTTCTCCAACACAGGGGTGGCTTAAAAAGAGAGGGGACAAATAAAATGGGGCTAAAATTTGATTTGAGATAAAGAAATACTTATGAAAATAAAAATTAAGCTTTTAAAACCTCCTGGCCAAGAATTCTTAGATTGTACATGATGACAAACTAGGAAAAACAAAACAAAACAAAACAAAACTAATGTCACAACCAACTTAACCAACAGATTAAAAGATTATCATCAGGAAGTCAAAGCACATTTCATCCTACCAAAAATAAAGGCATTCCAGAATAGGCAGAACACTTGTTTCTAGATGCTACTCTCTGTGAGGGTGAGACATGGTAGAAGGATGCCACCTATAGGTCAGGTTTAAACACCCTCTAGAAGCTGCCCATTTCCCTGTATTCCTAGTATCCCAGAACAGTTACTGCTTTGCCACATCCCTAAGGTGAGGCTCTGGGTGCCCAAATGTGTCAATTCAGTAACAAATCACAGTCTCTGAAAAGTTAGTAAACTTGGCTACAGGGCTACTGGGCTACACTTTATTTTCATTGTGGTTTGGGGAAAATAGCTAACCAGGCCACCATTCCCTTTGTTCACATTCTAAGTATGATTCTGCCATACAGTCTTTTCTCCTTTTAGTGTCCAATTCATCTGTGATTTGTTAACAGAGGCATTCTAGTCGTCTATAGAAAAAACACTAAGCAGATAAGAGACCTTGGGTAAGTGTCCTTTCACTTTTCTGAACCACAATTTCTCAGCTAGAAAACCAAGAGAGTGGCTCATAATTAGTCTCTGTCCTATTCTAGTCTTAGTATTACACAGTTCCTAAGCATTATCCTATTATTTTCTAGGGAATAATCGACACCAGATCAATGTTTAAGCAACAAAGGAAAGAAAATACCTCTCGAGCTCTGTCAGCGGGCTCATAGTGGGACTTAGGCTCCGGAACATGATAGCTTGGCTTGCTCCTTTCCTGCTGTGGTGGCTGCTGCTGCTGCGGGTGCGGCCTCCTGTGGTCATGCTGTAGAGACAGGAGATATGCTTGTTCTTGTTGCAACTGCCTCTGGAGCCTCTCTGCCTGCCGGTGCTCCTCCATCTCCCGCCATCGGCACTCCTTGGAGAGGGAGAGGAGAACACTAAATCTATGGGACACCGCAGAGCTCGCCTCTTCTCTGGATTCAGTCTCAACTTTTTACAAACACAATGCCCTTTGTCCCCCTTGTTTGATAACAGAGCAAAATGACTAGGATTTTAAATAGTGTATTACCTGTGGAAAAATCTGACAGCTTGTTGCTAACCATAATATCACTGGACAGAGAGAGAATTCAATTAAAAGCTGGTTTCGGTGGTTTCAAAAGTAAGAATATACTAGACAAAAATCCTGTGGCATATGATTTTAACTTCCAGCCCTTAGCATTCGAGTTTGTTCACCGAAGGCCAAGTTCTGTTCAAAATCTTGTTATCTACCAAAGAGATCAGTTAACTCTTTAACAGGAAATTAAGTAAATATATAGAAGCCACCTTGAAAAGTTGCCCAAAGTAGCATGACCACAGAGGACGTCTCCATTTGAGCCTGTCAGTCCACAGCACTAACCAAAATGGTCTGGTGATCACCACAGCTCTGCCCAAAGCTCAGGGGAGGGATAGATAAATGAGCCCTAATGCTACAGAACAAGACAGATACAGGGCGTTACCAGTAACATGGCCTGCTCCTGGAGCAGCTGCTGCTGAAGGATTTCCAAGTGCCGCTGCTCCTCTTCTAGCTGTCGCCTGATATACTCCTGTCACACAGAAATTACCCAGCAATCAATTTATCCAAAAGGAAAGCATCAGAACCACCTGAATGGAGCACCAAGAACCATTTGCCCCAATGGTCTTCAGTGGAGATTCGCTTAGTGATGAGTTTATTACAAAGTGTATGGCGAAGGATTTTCCCCAAGATCTTCAAATTGGCCAAGATCTAAAGAGTCTAACAAATGATGATATACACTCCATTGATATATACAAAGGTATCTGAAAATTTTTCTGTTAGAACACCACTGAGATTTCAAAGGACCATGATATTCCTCTTAAGGACAGAAGACTCCAGAGATATCAAGAGTTTAATTAGATAAACCAGAGGATTCACATTGCCCCAGATGGTTCTTATAGTCATTATTTATAAGTAGCATGGACTGCCAATTTTTGAAACCCCAAACCGAAACCTGTTTAATATTAAAAATCAAACATGATTTGTGTTTTCTCTGATGACACAGAAGGTACATAGAATGACTAATTTGAAAAGCCATGCATGGTCTGTAGACAACAGATGCAGATGATTTCTCATAAATGAACAGGCCCAGGCTCTTCACGATGGGACTATGACAGAGTGTGTGTGTGTGTGTGTCTCGGGGGTAAGGGGGTACGGATGGGGGGTTGGGGGAAGCCTATTTTCAAGGGGAAGAGAACAAGTCTCTGCAGCAATGAAAACAGGTAAACACACCCAAAATACGTAAAGAGGAGAAATCCAACCTTGAAGTTGCATGCATATTTAAGGGACTAGGACAGCAAGAGACCCTTATCTAGGACCTCTAGAAAGCCCTCTGATTTTCTCAGTCTCCTCATTTGAGAAATGAATATCAAGAATATTTCTTGCAACTCTCAAGATTTTAGTGAGGCTTAAATAAGACACAGTCACGAAACAACTTGGAAATACAAACGAGAAGTTTCCTCCCTTATCAACACGGAAAAAAGCTAACTACTCCCTAAAGGGGAGTAGACTAAAGGATCTATGAGAAATTTTATTCTGAAATTCAGATTATGTCTTTACAGTGTCTAATGCTGACCATCCCCTTACACTATGGCACATACTTTAAAATAAAAATAGCCATATATCTGGGCTGGAGAGAAGTTTTACTTCACCAACAATTCTAAGTGAGAGAATGGTGTATAACACAAATCATGACATATATATTTCCTTAGAAACCTTTATCTTACAAAATAAATTTTGCCCAAAAAAAGCCAATCTGATTACAACCTGGGTTCCAAGCCCCATGCCTATTAGTCTAAACCTCCATGGCACATGCTATGCCAAACACTGTTCTAGCTTGACATGTGGCCTTCCCCTACAATGGCCGAGAAAGGAATCTGAATTCCAACTCATCTCTTCTTTGAACCAGACAGAACAGAACCAAAACTTGGAAGATCAAATTAGCACAGTTGGGGTTTTTTGCCTTCAAAACACAAGGACAACCAGGAAATTCACATCTATCCAAATCACAAAAGTCCTAACATATAACAAGCACACAGAATACAATTACGCATGTACACAGACATGCATATGTAATGCAGAATTGACACATTTCTCACAGCACTGTTAACACGGGGGATATTTTGCAAAAGAATAAGGAAAGTAGAATGAAACTCCTTTGATGCTATTTTTTTAAGAAGAGGTGAAGAGTACTGCTGTACACAAAAGCTAATGACTGCCATTGAACATTAAAGATTAAGTTTAACTCTCATACCCTCATCTTACCATCAAATTGCAAGAATTATCCCTCGGACATTTAAATTTTTTTTAGGACATTTAATTTTTATGATTTTATTTATTTATTTGAGAGAGAGAGCATGAGAGGAAAGAGATCAGCGGGAGAAGCAGACTCCCTGCCAAACAGGGAGTCCGATGTGGGACTTGATCCCAGGACTCCAGGATCATGTCCTGAGCTGAAGGCAGTTGCTTAACCAACTGAGCCACCCAGGCTCCCCCAAGGACATTTAATTTTTAAAAGCTCACTTTTATTCACCTTTGCAGTCCTCAGGTAAAAATTACAATGTGGAAAAAAACCAAAACAACAACAAACCCCAAAACATACCATGGTCAACTGGAAAAGAATATCAACTAGGTAACAAATAGAACATATCACTTAAATTCTTACGAAGAACTGGTAACATGCAGAGAACCTGAAGCATATGATTAGTATCAAAGACACTGGTTGAATAATCAACTTTGGAAGTTAATACCGTTGTTGGTTAAGTATTTTAACTATGAATTTCAAGTATTATTTAGATCAGTCCCCAATCATATCTTTTTTCCTTTACCCAAACCTCGTAACAAATAATGATCAATTCAAAGATGTGAAAGATGAGGAGGCTCTGAGGGGCTCACACGGATAGCAGAGACACGAAAGCACAGTCCGGTTTTATTTGCACAGGTGTTCAGGGAACAGAGATGCAAAAAGACAACTATAGCTGGCATCAATAAAATGTTCTAAGTATTACCAAAACACAAATGATCTTTCTTGGCTAAACAAAACCACAATGTTAATAGTTTTTCTAATGCTACAGAGAAACACACTGTATTATATGCAAAAATGTTTATTACAATACTCAGCTATTGGATACTTCAAACATCTCTTGTGGTTGGTTTTTAATTTCACTGAAGAAAAGGCTAATTATCATCCAGATATTTAGGGTTCAAAGCATATAAGCCAAACCCAAGAAGACATACTCAAAAATCTTTTGGGAAACCACTCAACTGCTTTCCAGGTTTTGGAAACCACTCAACTGCTTTCCAGGTTTTGGAAACCACTCAACTGCTTTCCAGGTTTTTAAATGGAAAGATTTATCCATCATTTTTTAAAGATGAGAATTTATTGCTGTGCTTCCACCTGTGCTTCAGCATTCTGAAACCTCTGAAGTCCTGAATGTGTCTGTTGTGTGTGCACTGACGTCTGTGTACTTTTTGCCCCAAATCCCCCAATGCTACTACGCAACAAACCTCACAGATTCATGCATATAACATTCTTTAATGAACTAACCTGTTCTCTTTCAACTCTCCTCTTTTCTTCTTCTGCCCGCCTCCTCTCTTCTTCTTCTTTCCGTCTTCTCTCCAGTTCCTCCAGACGCCTCTTCTCTTCTTGTTCCCTCCTTCGCTGCTCACGTTCTTGCTGCCTTCTAGCTTCCCGCTCTCTCCTTTGTTGCTAGGGGAGTGAAGATATGTAATCAGCAGGGATCTTCCCCCTACAGCTCACATGACAGTCTGCTGACCAGCTACAGGTAGGTGCTAACTGGCTAGTTATTTCCACCCTGCCCCTTGGCCCCTACGTACTAGCATCCTCATAAATACTGGTCAAAGGTGGTTTATTTCTGTGAATCTTTACACAGTTTGCTTCCATTTTGATATCGACTATTCCCCATTCTTCACTGTATTAGAGCAACCAAGGGACAGGAAATTCTTTATTCTTAAATATCACTAACAGAATTACACAGGGCCTAAGAAGACAAAGGAATAAAGGAAAACAGAAGTAGAGCAAAGAAAGAGGAGAAATAATTAAAAAGAAGAAAAAGAAAGGAAGCATATATCAGGAAAAAGAGAAAGGGACATCAACAATGATAAATTATTACTAAGGACTGCTATGGCGTCATGCATGCTTACTATGTGTCTTGTACTGTGCCGGGTGTCTAATATTCTTTACTCCATTTCCACCATCTAACGTAATTCTCATAACAAACCTAGGAAGTAGGTATTTCACTCCTACTTTACAAATGAGAAAAAAGGTTCAGAAGAGTTAAGTGACTTGCCCAGTGTCACCCAGCAAGCAAGGCCCCGGATGGAAGGGCCACTCTGCCTCTAACACCTATAGTACTAACCAGACACAATCATGCATACTACCAACAAGGAGGATGGTGCTACTAATCACCAGACTCACTCTGACAGCCTTTCCTAATTCAGGCTATCCTATATAACCCCACAGAAGAGAACATTGGGACACACTGGACACTTGTCTGGCTGCTTATCTCATCTAGCCCCAGACATCTGCCAAATAAGCATTTCCACAGTATAAAGCATAAAATTAACCAATTCTTCTCACAAATGTGAAAAACGTTAGCCTCTAGCTGGCCAACCAACAGATTCTCTGGGATGATGAAAATGTTCTGCCTCAGTACTATTCAATAGAGTACCCAGCAGCCACACGTTGCTACTGAGTACTTGAAATGTGGCTAATACAACTGGGGAACTTAGTTTTCAATTTTATTTCAATGAAGTTTAAGTTTAAATAGCCACATGTGTCTAGTGGCTGCTGTGTTGGGCCACAAAGCTCTGAAAAATATACCGCCACCAAACTTCTTAAGACACGGGAAGCTGATATTATTACCACAAACTTTAATGTGATACTGAGATTATTAAGAAAGAAAGTTTGGGTATAAAAGCAGGTATTTATTCTAGTTTCAGAATTCCTCATGGGTTCCCTCCCATTCCTGCCACAAACATTCATTCTGAAGGCAGATGCTTAAAATGATTTCCTGAGAAATGTACAGAAATGTCTTATGTGGGGAACCCCTGGACAGAGAGGATTAGTTGGTACCTTGCCTCTCTCAGCTGAGTACTACATCATCGTTACTCTCCATACAGTCCCGAATCAGCTTTTGGCTCACTTTCCTCTTATTTCATACATTTCCATTGTTTTATTTTTTCCCCCACACTGTCTGCTCTTAGAATTCAATGCACAAAAATGCACCTATTTCCCATGGGTGGGGGTGGGGTCATAAAAAGAACGGAGTTCCTGTCTATTTAGAAATCACAACCTACAAGGCCAAGGCATCTTTATTAAATTCAATCACCTACTATGCCCCATACAGTGCACTTGTCTGTCATTTGCTGGCTTAATGCCTTTATACTTTTTTTTAAATCTTTAAAGAAAAAGAGGACCCTATTCAAAATCAAATCTAAGGAAGACAACAGAGAGCAATGGCCTACGTGCCGAAGGATTCCGGAGCAAGGCTGTTTGGACAGAGGCCTTTCTCTACTGCAATGGTACAGCTTGCAATCAGAGCACCAGGCCCCAAGCACTGCCCTGCACCCCTGGGAGAGAGGTCTTTCTTTTTTAAAACTAGCTACCAGAAAATAAAACAAAGAAAACGACTTCCCCCAGCCCCAGGACTTCATGAGCAACAAAACACAGAAACTTGAGGTAAGAAATAGGAGAATCTCAACCAAGCAGTGTTCAAAGCAAATTAAGTTAGCTCTTCTATTTTATATCTTTTGCCTTTTCTATATAGGAGCAAAAAGAAGTGAGTGGTTTTTTTGCCAGTAAATCACTTACAACAAATATACAGTTGCTAAGAACACAACCATTTTTCTAATGTTGGTAATAAAAATAATTGTGTTTTGCGAATTGGGAAATAGGTTTCTTTGCTTTAAATAGAAATTATTTAATTCCTTCAGGTATTCCTGGCTTCTGAACTTTTCTGTTGAATACAAAGACATTCAAAACAAAAAGCCTCCTGAGAAACCTAAAATGTTAAGAATCACATTCAATCACTTTGAACGCTTGATATGGTATGTTTTCCTTGAAGAGGTTTACGTGGAAGTTCTGTGGAAGCCTCCATCCTGAGGAGTGACCATGGTTTCGTGTACTCTATGATTTTTATGGAGAAACTCAGCACTGCTTAGTTCTGAGAACAATCATGGGCAAGACTGGCAACAATCAGGTTTACAAAAGAGAAATGACTTGTTAGAATACACTGGTTTAGCAAACACCTGGCAGGCCAGGCAAGAAGGGCCCCACCTCTGGATGAAAGGAAGAACCCACAATCACAACAAAGCTGGACAGAAAACTAATAGGGTATGTACACAATTTTCTTCCAAGTTGGTCAGACAAAAGGAAAACAGGAGAATGAAGTAAAGGGAAACAAGAAGAAAGGGAAGCAGTGCCTATATCCTTAAAATCTCCCCCTTAGCTTCTGAGAATTCAGGTTCCAAGTTAATCAAATTAATATGAACAGGTCAGAAAAAGCAAAGAACTTTATACATGGACACTGAATTTTACAACTTCTAGACAACAAAGAAGCCAAAATGGGTTAGGGGGGTCCTTTGAGAAGTTGTAGTCCACCATGGAATCCTAGAAAGAGAACTGAAATGACTCAAGAACAGGTGTTGTGGTCCTGACTCTGCTTCCCTGGTACAAGCCATGTTCTCTCCCTGAGCCTATTTTCTGACTTGTCAGGACAGAGGTGTGTGAGGTGGGGGTGGGAGGGAGAGAGTCTGTATCAGCAATCATGCTGGTGTGGAGTTGGCTTTTTTTTTTTTTTTAAGTTAAAAGTTGGTGTCTATGGTGAGAAAAAACTTTACAGAGGTTTCATAAGCAATGAACTTTAAGAGAATCATTCCTCTTCAGAAGACCTGGACTTTACCCTTCCTTGCCCACCATACCACCCTGGGGAGAGTGTCCTGACATAGCAAGATTACCAGAGAGAGGAGAAAAGAAGTAAAGAACTAAGATGATGGGTCTCTACATCAGCAGTCTCTAAAAGTGAGCAAGACAATAAATGGAGGTCTAGGAAAAGAAAACACTGAACTTCTATTTACTCATATTTGTAGCTCACCCTTTTAAAATAGCTCTTTTTGCATGTTCTATAATATATATACTCAGTGCAAGAGTATATAAATAGATGTATCTCTATCAGATTTACGTCTTTGGTTTCTTTTACTGATGGGATTGATACATGATTAAAGACCCTTCCAAGCCAATGCAATGTTCTAAGCAATGCTGCATGACCACAGAGACACAGACCCACAACAGCCTTAAAGATGTGCTTACTGCCATTTCCTTATATACCATGCAGACAAGTAAACATTCAATTTTCAGATATGACGTTGAAGTGAAGGTCCCCATTTAAACCCACGGTATCATGTAACAGAAAGAAAAGCCACAGGCTGCACTTGCTTTTTCCTCTTATTATTAAATTTTTTTTCCTTTAATTTCAAAGCAAAGCCATCCCCATCTCTGCTGACACTTTGGCTGTTATGCACATGGACTCCTCCAGAGAGCCAGGAGGGGCAACAACTTCAATGGGAGTCCTGGTCTGGGAGAAGCTGCCTGCCACTCAATGACCACACAGCTGGCAGCCAGACACAGTCTAGCATCCAACTTAAACCAGCCTCAAGATTCAAATTTCCCATGTCTCCAGAGGAAAAAACGGGAAGCTGCAGCAGAGAAGCAGAGCAGGAGTGAACCTGGATCAGAGCTGGCTTTCCACGTGCCAGCCCTCTCACCTGGAGCCGCTGCCTGCCCAATCCACTAAGCGAAAGTGTGATCTTAGGCCACCCACTCCGCCAGGACCCACTTGTCATCTCCCCTCTCCTCAGCTGTTGTCACCTCAAATCTCAGGAAATGGCAGGGCTCCCAGCCCAGTAAGAATTCTAACTAAATGCTAACAAAAGGCACATTTTAAGTAATCTTACAAATAGCTTTTTCCACTTTATTTACATTTTAAAATTTTAAAAAGATTTTATTTACTTGGGGGCAGGGCGAGAGAGTGCATGGAGGGGTGGGCAGAGGGAGAGAATTTCAAGTGGGCTCCACGCTCACTCAGGGCTCAGTTTCACGAGCCTGAGATCACAACCTGAGCCAAAATCAAGAGTCAGATGCTTAACTGACTGAGCCACCTAGGCGTGACTTACATTTTAAATTTTAAACTACTAAGTACTTTAAAAAGTCAAAAAGAATATAAGGCTTATATCAAAAATTAGGTTTTCCATTTCTCCTCACCCCCAGTTCTTATTCCCAAGGTAGAACCACTTTCAATGCTTTTAGCTTTACCCATAGTATTTACAACCCGATTTTTAAATTAAGTTTATAAGGGCTATTTAATTTTTTTTCCACTTCAGACATCATCTATTGATTTCTCCCAAAGAATATCCCTCATACAGCACCATCATATGCTCCTAATCCAGTCCTGTAACAATTTCTGTTAAATGAAAACCATATTCAGGCAAACTTGAGTTTACTGGGGAGCTATTACTTGCCTTATTTTTGCTGCTGTTGTCTGTTTCACTGGCTTTCTATGGGTCATCATAAAACCATCTGTAATGTCTCTTTTTTTATTTTTTTTAAAGATTTTATTTATTTATTTGTCAGAGAGAGAGAGAGAGAGAGAGTGTGAGCAAGCGTGTGAGCAGGCACGCGAGCGCACACAA